GAACAAGACTTACTGCTTTTCTCACATCAAACAAGAATAGGAGAGGAACAAAAAAGGGCAAATGCACCAAAATTCTTAGTTGCTCCTTTATTTACATCAAAAATTCCAAAGTTCACATTAAACAATTTTTGAGTGGTCCTAAAACCAATTCAAGAGCATTTCTTACGATTATCGCACCAAAATGTTGAGAAACTGACAAATCCAACTCAATTAAAACAGGGGTTTTCCTATTACCTCAAGTAAGGTTTTGGAAATATCTGGAAATTTTCTATCATTCACACGCAACACATCTGACCAATATTTCATATCAGGCGACAGGATTGATTTAGATTATTTTATCTGACTTTTAGCTTGAGTCTTGGTGCTTGACAGATTCAAATACCAACTTCATAACTACTTAATAAGATATTGTCAAAATATCACAATTGTACTGAACTTCAACTGAGTTTTAGTTTTGCTCCTAAAAGGGTGAAGCCACAATCCCCATACACTTCAAAAGCATAACATTCACTTCCAAAAGCACAAGTTTTGTTCAAAGCTGTCTTAAAAATTAGAAAACAAATACAAGAGCCCAACCTCTGCATGAAGTTGGAGAAAAACCTATTTTGTGCGAAAGTAAGCCTTTCAGTATTTGGTAACTTACTGTCGTTTGTTCACGTCTAAGTAAATCACAAAATGCTGACCTAACCTTAGATGAACACAAATCTACTCCGGTTTGGAACAGAAACATCCCGCTTTGTGAATTGTTTCTTAGATGATCCACATTCAAAGACAGAATGGAACTAAGATGCCTTAATCAATACCCAGGTCTCGATAGGCTTTTGCTTCTCACAAGTTAAGCAAATATATTCTTACTCACCGCAGCGATGTCAGCCTTTGAAATATTCGGTGGGACACTCCTCATATATAGGGACAGGGTTTTGTGGGACTCCCGTGCTTCTTGCTCTGTATCCTTGCTTTCGTCAATTTCCGTTGACTCGTTCCTTTTGTCCCCTACACTCTCACTTTGCTGCTTAGCAACCTCCAGCTAGATGGTAAAACAATTTGACATCACATCAGAATGTGACAAACAGGTTGTATATAGTATAGTATAGAGTAAGAAGGAATCTTCACGAGTGAGCGTTAAGAAAAGGCAGAGAGACCCTAAGTGTTATTCCGAACTATTAGCCACTTCAAAGAAAGGGCAATTTTAAAAGATTTATAGCAAATCCAAACAAGAAGAACGATAAAACTAACAAGTGTCAATTAAAATGACCCACAAATTCTCTTAGCATCATTTATACCTCTAAGAACAAACTTCTCGGTTATTTGGAACGAGAAACGCGATCCAAAGCAACAAAGGACAAATCGGCTTACAATACATGTGAAAAGCCAATTGGATCCTCTCAGCCCATTAAACTGTTATTTCAAATGCTCCTCATAGCTTCTATCTTGTGTAATGTATCCTTGTAGAATATTCATCATAGGAAGCTTAAAGCGTTCTAAGGAAGAGGTACCACCCCAGGGGAAAGAGTCTAGGAATCTTCCGAAAGGGAGCTTGAGTTGCTGGGTGTTTTAACTCCCCTACCCAAAAACACACTTTTGCGAAGAACTTCGACAATATTTCTACCTGTTCCTCCGCCTTCTCCTCTACGTCTTCTTCATCCTCGTCTGATTCAGACTCTGAATCAGAATCTGAGTCGTCATTTCCTTCGCCACCCAATTCCGACACAAAAGCACCAAGCCCCTTCCGTTTCTTTTTGTCCCAGTCTCGCTTCCCAGACTTCGCTTCCTTTTCATGCACATCCTTCTTCTCTTTGCCAGATTCACCTTCTGACGGTGCAGCGCTAATTTCCTTTTTCTCCTCTAAAAAAGACTTCTTCACTTAATATATTTTGTAATGCATAGTTTGATATCAGATAAAAATTTGCATGATTAAATTCTTCCCTCTAACTCAACTTTCTTGTATACTCTTTTCTGCACTTCTAGATTCCTCTTTATACTGAAAAACCATTTCCTCCTGTATCCGATAAGTCTAGCACGCCCTTAATGTTCTCACCACACATTGAATGGAACAGATTTTATTTACTTTTTCTAAGATAATCCGTACGAGTTGTTAAAAACTACAGATAACATAACCTGACGGGCTACCCAAGTGTCCCAAATATATGCTAAACGTCCTTTTTAATTACTGTCAAATCTTCATAAATTTGCGTGCTTCCTTGAGAACTTTCTTTTAAACACTAGGCTACCGTAAAACTTCTATTTTAAACTGAGCCAACCATATCGAAGATTCAATTCAGTTGAAGATGAGGAATCTTTTGAAAAAAACCTGTTTTCTAGGCGAATAATACTCCGGATGAAGAGCTTCTTATTTAGGGCCTGCGTTGAACAGATAACGAACGCGCTTTGGAACTGTGGCAATTTCAGGCAATACCTCTTATACATTTGTCACAAAAGTTAATAAATTAAGCTACAAATTGATGCTACAAAAGTACCTTTTATTTTATAAATAGCGGCAGGGTATAAATCGAGCCTTGAAATCGTTACCTGGCAGTTATTGCGACAGAAAGCAAAAACCAGGATTAATAGCAGGATACTTTTGGCGGAGACAGTAAACACCTGTGTATAAGAAGCTAGTGGATTAAGAACCTACTGGCTGAAATTATGAAGTTAGACCCCCATTTTATAAGAACCAATCAAGCCTGAAACTTACCTGGAATAGGTTCTTATTTGTAGGGATCCCCAAACTGCATAAAAACTCTAATTGCTTAGTCATTAAAATATATATACAAATGCGGTTTTAAATTCAAATTCTGAATTTCAATGTTTCTCAGATACCAAGCTAAAATGCTTCTCATTCATCATTTCACTTAAATTCAAGTATTTGGTGGACTCCTTTTTGCTCAACTTTCTCAACAACTGATATAGGTAGTTGGGATTGTCACTAATAGGTTTGCAATTCACTGGAATTTCAAGATCTTTAGCCCCAGTAAACACATCAAAATGCGTGAGGTTGGAATTGGAACAAAAGATTGAAGTTTGAATAGGAACAAAAGAAATCTAGGAAAGCCCGACATCAAATAAGAACCAATTTAAGAACCCAAACAGTTTAAATTTCTAGCAAATACCCAATATACACTTACAAGACAAAAGTATTTGGACGACGAATAACAAAATGGCGGCCCCGAAACTAGCATTCTAACATTGCTGAACAAATCTTGCTGTTTTGGCGGCATTCTAGAAATAGTGTCAGCAAAAACGCAATTCCTAACCAATTCAATGTCAAAATGTCAAATGGCGGCTGTCTAGAATCCTTTTTTATAATAATTTTAATATATGTTTATTTTTACAATTGGGTCAAAATGCAATCGAAAATCTCAGACAACAATCTCGTTATTCTCCACTGATTAACAAAATTTTGCTTTGAGGCGATCGTCCAAATACTTTTTCATGTAATTGTATAAGAACCTAGCCAGACTGACTTGCAAAATTGTAGGTTTTTATACGCGGGTGGTTACTGTATAGAAGCTAATGGAATGAGCAGGCATAATTCCATCAGAAATTCATTATCAACGTTTTTCTATTGCAAGACATAAAGGCTGTTTTAATCAAAGAATTTATACGTTGATTGTATGTTTTTAAACATATTCTGTGAACAGCATATCACGTATATATCGATCTAAACTATACTTTAATTCTAAATAACAACTTACCATCATTTTCCACCACTTCATGGTTCGCGTCAAGGTTGTTGCTGTTTTCTTTGTCTCGCTTGCGTTCGCTCTCGTTTCCACTATCATCAGAAATATTCCTTCCTTCGCTTTCGGCCTTGGACTCATATTGGTCCACTCCTGGTGGACCTGGGTCTGCTTCTCCCTCATCTTCAGGTTCATCCCGAGACGACTTCACTGTTTCAACTAAATACAAGCAATTATCACCAAACATGAAATCAGATCTTGGTATTAAATGCAGGATTGTTTTAGTGCAAAGGCCATTTGTGGATATAAGGAATGTACAGTGTACAAGTGAAATACTATTGGGTGTTACCAGGCGTTTGCAAAAGTGTTATATCAGATTAGTGCCATTGTATGAATGCAAGTCATGGAGAATAAGCAAGAACATGGAAAAGCTTGCAGCGGTAAAAATGTGGTTTTGGAGAAGACACGAGGATCTTATGGGTAGAAAAGATGACGAATGGAGAAGCTTTTGATAAGATTGGAATGAAAAGACAGCAGTTGAACGCTATCAGGAAGAGGCAATGGGGTTTCACTGAGCATGAGTTGAGGAAAGAAGGGAAATAAAAAGGGATATTATCAAGGCTGAAATGGCTGTAAACGAGCAAGAGGAAGACTAAGATTGGAAATGTTAGACTGGGCAATGAAAATTTTTCGTGTTAGAGACGGAAAACAACTAGTCAAGATTGCAAGAGACAGGAGTAGATGGAAGAAGGGCGAAACACCACGATATGTTTCCAGCATTAAATGCAATGACACAACCAATTACAAGACTATTAGGGAAATTAAACAATGAAATTGGAAAAAAGACTCTTTGTAGATCGCAAAAAGAGAATTTGTCAGGCATATAGAATAAAATATCCAGTTACTACTGCAAAATTTTTCAAATTTACAATAGACGATATCCTACCCGTTCCATTTTCATTTTCCTCTTCAACTTTATTGAAGTCCACAGGGTCTTCTCCTGGAGGACGTGGTTCAGCCTCGGATTCGGATTCAGATGAGTGGTCATTACCCTTATCTTGCGATTCTGGCGGGGGTTTTGAAGGCAGTGGAACTTTCGAAGGAGACAATGGCTCATCTTCTACAAAATTAAGACAATGGCTCATCTTCTACAAAATTAAGACAATGGCTCATTCACTATCAAACAAAGACAATGGCTCGCCAAAAAGGGCAATTACTTATCACATAAAAAAATCATTAATTCTCTTCTTGTTTTTGACTGACTAGCAGAGAACGATCATACACTCTGTGTAGCGGACACCTGGCAATTGTTCGAGGAAAAGAGCCTTGCTTTAAAAATTTTAAAGAAGACATCATCACATACAAGAGACAAAGAACACAAATAATCTGTAGTCTCGCACATTAAACAAAAAAATCAAACCAAACGACGTTAACTCCTATAGTTGACATCCAGAAATCTTGATTATTTTAAACAAAATTGAAGATTTAACCAAACACCAAGTTTGTTTATTTCTGCCACTTTTAAGTAAAATGAGTTTCCATAGTAAATTTCGGCAGGGGCAGCACAAACGCTATCACCTAAGGGGCTGCCACTAATTCGTTACTAAAGTGACACCCTATGGAAGGCCCTCAATGTGACATTCTAAATATAACGGAAGGCCATCCATGTGACATTCTAAATATAACGGAAGGCCACCCAACTATATAAAAGTGTTCCACATATTGAAATCTATTGCTGCGTGGAAAGAAAGCGTTTGCATTACAGATTATAACAAAATATGCGTATTTTGAACACTAAGCAAAAATAAAAAAAACCTGAATCAAAGAAGCTGTTATTGGAAAATTGCATTAAAATAACTGACAACCTTCGTTTTCGATTTGCTCCTGCTTAGATTCAGCCTCCTTCGATTCTTTCGGCTCTTCAGCAGAAGAGTCTTTGCCATCATCAGAGTTTGACTTTTTGTCCTCAAGGTCATCTGATGCTCCTTCTTCAAGTCGTATTGCGACTGAAAAGACAAAAACAAAATTATAAATTATAATATATTATAGATTATATATTATAAATTATAAATAAAATTATAAAAACAAATTAGAACCTTTAATGGTACTACACATGAGCTATTCATTGAGCTATATTAGTCGATACTTGTTCTATATAAGATTCCTTATAAAAGGTATGAGCGCTGTGGTAAGGGGCTTGAGAGGTCAGGAAACAGAGCTACATCATTTCAAAACTCTAACAAATCCGGGATAAAAAACAACAAAGAAAATGTTTTGAGAGCTTTGAATTATCGTTGAAAGGTTAACGTAAGATCGTTAAAACCTTTGATATGGTCTTAAAATTGGAAAAACCACAGAACATACATACACAAGCAATAAGAAAACGGTACCATAAAAGCAAAAATATCGAAATAAACGTGATCAGAAGACTGTATAGCAAAGATTTGGACAATAAAGCAACGTTTTGGAAACATTCTAGTACAATGCTCATGAGGCCTAGGAATCGGGAAAAAGGCTGACTGGGGTCCCTGGCAAGCTTGATAAATATAAAATGTATACACTTCAGTTTTAAGAAAAAGACGGTTGAAAATTACTATTCCAGTTGGAGCTAACAGAAAATAGGATAACGAAAGCTTCAATAAGTAATATAATGCCCCAACAGCCATTTTTTTATATTGACCATGTATCTTTGCACAATACTTTAAGCATCAAGTCATGATAAAAATAAAGTTATACCTGAGTCGAGCAGTTTCATAATCGCGTCCGAGTGGCCACCGTCAAGTGTGATATCACCCATTTGCCCAGATTCGAGCATATCAAGAAATATCTGCAGCCTCTTTTTGACAGCATTACGCTTCTCTTTCGCTTGATTCTTAGAGTCAATCGGGTGGTATTTATTTTTAAACCTTGTAAGAAATGAGTGCAAATTAATAACAATTTCTTTTTGAAAGACTCTTAAAAAGATTTCCTAGTTGACTTCTATTCATAATTTACTTGTGTTTTCATAAAATACAAAAAATAAATCGATTTCTAGCTGAAAAAATTCGAACATTGTTGTTCTGGGATATCTTGCTTTCAATATTTCTCGGCGAAATCCATAATCGAAACATTCACCAACAGTTTTATAAATTTATTTGAGATTACTTGATATCTCCTTCACACGTATGTCAATTAGTAAATTTGAACACGTGTTATTAAAGGCAACAGGCTAAGAGCCCAAAGGGGTGTTACCCTCTGCTACTTCCTTCCCAACGAATCCTTGTATTTGAGATTTTTGTTTCCCTTCCCCAATTAAAGTTCCATTAAGATACAATTGTAAAACCATTGCCTAAAAACAATGTAATCTTGTCTTCACAAATTTTTTTGCATTTAAACGATGTTTCGCATTTGACAGCCACTTGTTAGGAAAAGAATAAACGGAGAAGAGCAAACACCCCTTTGTTCAACGCATAGTGTCACGAAATAGAAGAAATTCTAAAAGAAAGACAAAATCTGAACAGCTAAAAATAAATAACTTAATATCCTATATGAAATGCAAAATATTGTGAAGCTTGATATCTTCCCTGGACTGCTACACCCACTTACTTGCTGATCAAAATTGGGCGTCATAAAAAACTCAGATCCAGAAATGACATAGAGAGTGAGCCTGATCCAACAGGCAGGTTTTATAAGGCCAATTTTCATTCAAACTACATAATTTAAGGGTTAGACCCTTCATGCAAATTTGGGGCCGAAATTGTCATCTCTGGTCGTGCCAATGTAATCCAGGCATTTCATTAAGCTCATGACAAAGGAAAGGAGAACAAAATTAGCAAAATTTGAAATAAAAGACAATTTATAAAATGATTCTATAAAATTAAAACTATGAAAGACATGCATAACTTATGGAGTTGGATTTATGGAACATTGGTACACTACTTCAAACGTAAAAAATTGTCTTGAATACAGATTTTAGTCTTTTTTTATTCTAAAATATCACCCATGTGGAGTTCTGGATGTTTTGAAAAATGAAAAATTGTGTATATTTTAAATGATTCATCAGTTAGCTGATAAAAAATTATGGAGAACAGCTAGGGTGGTTGAGGCACAGTATGTATAAAACATAAACAGGTGCAGCAAAGGTGTAATTTGGTGCCTGTGCTACAGTCCCTGATTAAGTTATCTATATAAGTTATCTATAAAACTTTCCTGCTTTCATGATGCATTTTAATGTTAAATAGTTGAATATGATTTTAGCATGAAATACTACATAAAAGAATTTAGCTATGTGGACTTTTCTGTGCAATGTTATAGTTTATTTTTAGTATTCCAAAGAAAAATTCATCATTTGTTATTGAAGATAAGATCCAGCCATCAACAAGACTTCCATTGAGACTACCAAAAACCTATAAATAACGAAAATCTGGACACTTCATCAGACACTCCAAAAAAGATACATAACTTTTTTGCAGCAATGCAGAAAGAATCAGTGGCAGTAAATGTATGAATAAATAGTTAAATGCATACCATTCTTCATCTTTGTGTGTCACAAAGAAATCACTGAGCTGCGTTCTTTTAAATTCAGTCTTGTATTCTTGAAACCTTCTGACAGCCTCCATTTCATCGATATTTTCTTCCTGGGCAATTAAAAAGCTCTTGAATGTCATCATTTTTGGAGGTTGAGAGCTTTTGAAATCACCACCAGACTCAGAAATTCTAAAATCGATTTTAGAAAATAAAGAAAATCAGACATTGCCATGATCATGCAAAGTTGTGCCAAAATATTGTGTGACTATTCTTAAAAGTAAATGCTGAATCAACAACAGATATAAATCTAGTTGCAGAAAACTGAAAGATGTAAAATATACTTTGCTAGTGTTGCCCATTTCTTACAAGATTCTTGGAACTTGATTCTAAGAACAGAGGTCTGTGAACCAGGTAATGCATTTACACTGCATGAATATACAAATTTATTGCATAATTTTCAAGAACAAGCTAATGAATATCTGCCTGTTATAAAACAGACTAATTAAGAGTTGTAAACCATTTTCACTCAAAATTCTAATGTCTGATATTACCAGTAAGAGCTTTGGCTTACATAGAAATATTTTCAGTCTTTGAGTTTGAGGTAACTAGCCATGTGAATTTGAGCTAATTTAATATTTTATCAATAAAATATTTTTGGCAGGTCTTGTCCAAATGTATAGGTCTCAACAATTTAATTTCTCAGATGTCATAGTTTGATATTTACTGGATATTTACATTTTTATAAAGTTAGCAAGATTTTGAAATAAGTGCTTTATAACCAGCACGATACTTTTAGCAGTTAAAGCTGAGTTGAGTACTGCATAAAGGCAAGTGATAAAACATTCTGATATTTATAAAACTAGCCTGAATGAAAAAGTGGAAACTTAAAAACTAGAGCATTTTCATCCAACACACCTCATAGCCTAAACATTGGATAATGGTAAGCAGAAATTTTAGTTTAAGTAACAAGGTAAACAGAAATTTACTTCCATTGGAACCAAACAAGTGTCAGAGTAAGAATCATATATTTGACTGGTTTCTGGATAAAAACAATAGCAGATAAACTCTATATTTCAATAAATAGGTGATCAAAATGGAAAAATAAAAAAGAATAAGCCTTCTAAACAGATAAAATAGAAGGTAAGCATGCATGTTCATACCCTTGCTTGCCAGAATCGCCACTCTGGTGCTGCATAAGGGGGCCTCTTCCACCACTCCACAATCCTGGGGAAGGCATCACTCCAGAGCTGAAATTCTTCTCATATGAAGAATCCCTTTGGGATAAAAACATGCCTTGAAATAGGTTAATTAAAACTGAAAACTTTCTGATGGCAAAGTCTCAGCAAAACAACTTCCAACAAAAATTTTTAGGATTTGATATATGAAAAGAATTTTTGACAAAAACCTTTTGACCAAATATTTTTGCATGACACATCAAATTTTGTGCTAATACAAACAGCCATTTCATGTTCATCAACTTTAGGGACCCAACTATATATGGGTAGTAGAAAAACTGGGGGAAACTAGCATCGAAAAAGTTAAAGCTTTCCTTGCATATTGCCTGGAAAGAAGAAGCAGTCGTGCTCTCATTGCTTTCTCTTTAAATTAACTCCTTTGATCTCTTTATTTTTCTGTGGTGACAGGGACATTTTTGCTGTGTTTAAGATATCTGATTAAAAATGTATGTTGCACGTGGTACTTCATCAAAAATAACAGTAATATAGTTCGCAAATAAATTGAGTACCAGAATGAAGTTAAAATAGTTTGATTGTTAAAAACACGACGTTTCGAGCATTTACTCATTGTCAAGTGGTTAGAAAAGAAACAGGCCAAGCAAAAAAAAGGCGAGATTTGATAAATAGAAAAGAATGTGAGATGCGACGAAACCAAAAACAGAATAGGGGAAGGAGAGGAAAATAAGAAAAGAGTAGAAAATAGATAGAAAAAGAAATAATTGAAGGAAATTAAAGATTTTATTAAGAACATTAGGATAAAGATTCTCCAAAGTCTTCTGTTTTGTGGTATCTTGTGGTACATGCAATAAGCCAAAGATGTACATGTTGGCAGTAGAATGACGCTTGAATCGGATACGCTCTGTATCGCTTTTGCAGAGTCAAACCATTCCAATGTGAATGTGAAAAAGGAATCATATTGGATCACTTTTGAGCTCGTGTGAAGCCATGAATCCGATACGGTTTTGCTCCAGAACCTCTGTTTTAAAAAGGCAGCTTCATTTTCGGGGTTTTATAAAACAGTTTGGCACTCTTTTTAAGACACAAAAAGACAGTGGATCGCAGTTAAACAATAAAAATGCTCCTTGCGATGATGATGAGCTTCACAAGATTAATGCAAAGGAAAATTAGATTGTTTGGAAATTGATTTCAAAATACTTCTTCAAAACAAAACAGCGTATCAGATACATCACATCCAAATAATGCATTTTATTAGAAAAAGAGCAAAACAACGGACAACATTCCACATTGCTATGCAACTGCTTCAAGAGAATGGATTGTTCAGAGCAGAGTTGAAGCATAGCGTCACTGTGTAAACAGGAGTGAATCCAATATGAAATGAATCCGGTCTTGTGTGAACAGACCTTAATATTCGTAATGTATTGGGTCAGTAAATCCAATATGAAATGAATCCGGTATCATGTGAATCCGGTATCATGTGAACAGCGCCTTAAACTGCCCATCTCCACGAAGTTTCATGCTGGTATCACATTTTGCACAATTGGGCTATCTATATGTGCTAACTGCCCTGGTTATTATTAGGCTTTATGCTCTTATCATGACATATAGCGAGACACAACTACTTCGTAGCTGTTGCTACCTGCAACGTTTTTAGTGTTCTTTTGTGATATGGATTATGTTAGCAACATTTCTCAAGTGTTCTCTACAGTGGTTGCTTATTTGACGGGAGGTTTCGCTGATGTTACATATTTGAGGAACTATTTGCCATTGCTTGGAAATTGAAAATTACAGTCAAATTAACTGCAGAAATCTTTGGACACTTGCCATGAAAATTCGATAGAGGTAGAGTAGTAGAGGGCTGTGTTCTTGGTGAAAAAATATCACCCAAAGTCAATTCTACGTGGATGATTGGAAATCGCTCTGAGTACAGTTTTCATATCAGAAGAAAAGAGGTACGTCCATCAACTCAAGGACATCAATTAAGATAAGATAAGGAAAAGTGCCTGGAAACTACACTAAAACGTGATAGAAATGTAAGAGCAACAGCTCATTCGCCTCGTCAATGCTTGCTCTTGTCAATTGTGGTTATGTTTTGGACAACAGAGCTCGTTCCATTGAAAATTGGGATGCGAAAAGGGAGGTAAATCGAGGGGGTTTTAGTTAGACTATCTTAGTTCTCTTTTTTTATCTTGGAGAAATAGATAGTATCAACAGTGTGCTTAGTGACAATTTAAGATGAAGCCATGAATCTGAACCACAAGAAAATTGTCATGGAAAACAAAACCAGAAATAATATGCATTCTATGAATGAAAAACATTTAAATGTTGTGTGTTTTTATGCCATAAAATATTATCTATGTTTAAGAGGGAGAGTATTAACCAAATGTGATTCGCAAACAAAATTTTTGGATTAAAAGACTTTCAGACATACTTAGACTTTTGACATATTTTTGACAAATTTTTGTCTAAAAGTTTCATCCTCTTAAATCTTTCCACCTGCTAATGAATTTTGAATTTTGCTTTTATTACTAGCAAAGTGAGCATAAATTGACATCTAACAAAGAATGATGGGCAGTAAACCAGGGTGAAGTAGAAGTGATGCAAGTTCAAGCTAAAGAACCAAACTAAAGTTTTAGAAGGACCTAGACTTCTGCAACTGTTTTGAAAAGCATCTGAATGTATGATTTGGTATATAAATAACTGAAGTTAATTTTATTTGTTAGATATGTTTGCTAGAAACTGTCTATGAAAATTGCTTTTGTTTACTTGTAATTTTATTGATCTTGCCGATTTTGTGCAACTAAAGCAGACTTTCTTGAAGAAGGGAGTAAGAAATTTTACAGAATTGAACTTTTCCAGAGTTTGACTTATGTGGGTTTACTTCTGCACATTAACCAAGGGAGAAGGGAAAGCTTGCGAAAACAGGAGTTCAGCTTAAAAAATGGTAAATGAATGTATTGAAGTTTAACTGTACTTTTGCATTCTGTAATTCCCAGGACAAGAGGTAGATATTGAAGCTAAACTTATCACATAAGCATGAATTAGGCATGTTTTTAAAAAATTTTGATGGCTATTTAACAATCCTGAGACAATCCATGAATTAGACATGGCGACCTAGTGTATGCCTCACAATAAATAGAAAAAGCAAAAGATTTATAAACCGTTTGCAGCTCAATATTAAGTTTCATTGAAAAATTGAAATAAAAGACATCATCTAAAGGCAATAAAAAGATACTGAAGTGGCTTGAGCTTTCTGTCAATCAATTATTATTGGCCAATCAGTAAACATGTGAATTATAAAAATGCTTATTGATTGGCTAATTTTGAATGACAAATGGCTTAAGCCCTTTTTTGCCTTCGATTGATTTGAAGCTTTCTTAGATGGACATCAGATTTTCCAGTACAGGGATTGAAAGAGGTGTCCTACGGTAGAAATACTTTGGCAAAGCATTTTGTGCAGAAGACAGAAGCCAAAAATATAGCATTCTCAACATAAAGTTTAGTTATTTTCGAACTCAATGCCATCTCAACATTAAAAGCTCATAAACAGGGGTTTAATGTGTGTAATCGCATGCACAGGCATAGACACACACATGGCACCAATAATGCAAGCGATTGATCCCACACATTAGTTACATATTTGACCATTGCTTTTGCCCTTTATAAAATTGTTTTCTTCAACAAAATATTTAAGTTTTTTTTTTATAAGCTGAGCAACATTGGATAATTCTTTGAATAGTGCCTATTTTGTCTTCCTTGCAATTTCAGTTGTTTTTCAGGTTTCATTCCTTCTATATTAGAAACTTGAAACCCTGTTTACACTATTCTGTGCCAGTTCAGATCTGTGACAAAATGTTCGCTGCTTGCCCTTTCATTTACACTAGCAATCTGTAACTGAAACAATTTTGCTCTGCAAAACAGAATAGCGGTTTGGCCCTGCTATATGGAAGCGAACAAATCTTGTACTGTTACGGCTCTGTTTTCTAATGAGACAGTGTAAACAGGTTCTATAATCGCCAGATATAGGGAGTGAATGGCTTGCATGAAACAAATAATGCAAGGTTTACCATGCACGTTGATTTCCTTATGACCAAGACTGCATTAATACATAGTCAATATATTGCATGTTGAGTCCCTTTTTAAAATAATTATATAATTGATAATGCTAGGCATTGATCCACAAAATATTCCAGGAAAGATGTTTATTGTGCAAATTCGCTATCAAATACACCCTGAGGACGTAAATAAGTAAATTATAATCGAATAGACATAATATTATGGGGGCACATATAAGACACCTACTAGTGGATTTCACTTAAAAAATTATTACGTTATCTACACTGTAAATAGCTTATAGATTGCATGGCTTGGCTAGAAATGATAGGTTCTATGGGTACTCTAAATTTTTATTAGTATATACTTAACGTCTGGCATATCTAGTCAAAAGGATTTGGATAACTCAAAATAAGAAGTCGTGTTATTTCTCGTAACACTATACTCACCAGTCCCTTCGATTTCGCTTCAATGGTGGACTAATTTGTCCATCACCACCTTCACTATCCCTTCTTGGTCTTCCATAATATTGTCCACCTCTTTTCCGATCCCAGCCTTGGTCTCTCCCGCCACTCCAGCTGTCTCGTCCTCTTCTATCTCCCCAATCACGGCGATCTCTGTATTCCCCCCGAGGCCGTCGTTGCTCGTATTCACTTCTTTCACCTCTAAACTTATCTCGGACTCTTCTCCTATCATATTCATCGTCGCTGTCACCCATCTTGTAGAAAGTTAACTGTGAATGTTACGAAGAAGTTTCGAATTGTATCCTAATGGCGCCCGAGATGGCCAACAACGTGAAACGCTTGCATAAAGACATAACAACAACAACAACTTCAAATGTGTGTTGGAGGAATTCAATTCAGTTCAATTCAAATTTTGACCGTGCTTTATATCCCAAAATGTATATATTATATTATGTCATTATTATAAAAAGGCAAAATGAGTTGAATGTGTTTCAAATTGGCCAAGATATGGCCAAATAAGCACGGGTACTTTCCCAATCAAACCTCTGTAATTTGGTCTTGGTTCATACTTTTATAAACAAGGCCAGAATAACAGTAATGCCCACCTCCCCCCCCCCTTTCAGTAATCCGTCAGCAAACTTGAAAATCTTCATTGGCCATATCTCGTATAATTTGAACACATCTTACATGGAGGAAAGGTATTTTATGCCGTTCTTTCATGATTTGTGGTCAAAATTAATAAATTCAATAAATTTATTTTTAATGACGTCACACTTTTGCACTATATTTACAATGTATAATATGCAAAGTTATTTTATCAACTAAAATACATACGTTGATGGTTTTGGACACTTTAAAAACTCATGCAAAGATCTATGGAGCAAAGTGCACCGATTTTTTCAACAGTGCCATGGTAGATGCCTCCGTGTCTACAAAATTGAACTGATAGTCAATAAAGAAACAGAAACAGTAACAAAGTAAAGAAGGTAAAGGAAAGACTGCTTGATTTAAAAAGAGTTTGAATCATTATAATAATCATAAATCGCTAAAATGCATAATCATTACCCTATAGTCATTAAAATAATGCAACAGACGATCAAATGATATTATATCATACAAAAATTACTGTTTAGCAGTCTGTCAAAAGATGCTCGATGCCGTATAAGGAGTGCTATACACGTTCAGGACAGGTGTCTGATAATCGTATTAAGCGTGAAACTCGGAGAAGCAACCATGGGTTCCGACAAAGGTTGAAAAGTGGGAGGCCAAGGGAAAATTTAACACCCATAACAAAAGATTTTGAAAAAAACTCTATTGTTTTGCAAAAAAGTGGGGGGGGGGGGCTAAGGCCCTGAAATCGCGTTATATGATATCATAAATATAATAAGAATAATTCTAATATGAATATAAAAAGAATATTGCACCTTGCAAAGTCAACATAAATTTCACAAGTGTTTGTAGGGGTTCTCATCAGGAATTCCCATTCTCTCAATGGGGATTATGCCCGCCATTTCAATAGCTTTTGCCATCATCCATATCCCACGATTTTTGCAAAGTTCACCGTAGCAAATGAAAAATGAAGTTATCTTGCTTGCCTTGCACCATTAGTTCCAGGATAAATTACAAAGTGGACGAAATAGGGCCGGATGAACATAATGAACAAAACAAGGACATCAATTATGATTGTTGATTATGATGAAAGTATGACCGAGGACAATATGATATTGTTGAGGATGATGAGGATGTTTTGTAACGGCTAAATGAATTTAGTTGACAAGGTATGATACTGTTAAACTTAGTAGCCATCTCCTACGTGTTCCTTTATATGCTTCATGTTTGTAAGAAAGACATTCCATTGTCAAATAACGAAAAGCTTTCCTGTGATTTTTCTATAGTCCAAAAACTTCGAACAGTAAAAGTTTTTTAAAACAAGAATTTCGGACGGTACACATTTCGGACGCTACTAATGTCCGAAAATATCAACGCTCGAAATTTGTTGCCGTTTAATGTATAAAATTATCGGTACTTGCTTGGTGGTCTTATGTAAATAGCTGTTGGCAGTTTTTTGGCAGAACATCAATAGAAGTTTAAACAAAAATATAATGCAAGTGTAGTTTTGCCTTTCTTCCAGCAAAAAGGGCCTTACGCGTAGAAAAGGCAAATAGTTTATTTATTGAACTAATAACTAGTATTCCAGTCCTCCGCTACAAGTTGGAATAAATTAGATTTCAGCCTTATGCAGTAGAAGCAGTTCACATATACACTCAGATTAATTAAAAACAAAAGGCAATGATCCAGTAAAGACGAAAGCTTACAATGCCAAAGAAAGCAGATGAATTATGGGGAATAAGATGATCGAAATTGTAGAAGAGGCAAGGTGTCTGGAAGTCACTTTAGACAACAAACTGAAATGGATATTCAAGTCAACGATGCTGCAGCTTCCATGAATGTCAAATTTAGACAAATGAAATGCTTCACATCACTATCACCACATTTGTGAACAAATGCTTGACTTATGAAATATATTATAGCAGAGGTCCTAGAATTCTAAACTATTTAATACAACAAAAATTATTATCAAGAAAATGAAAGATACAGATCAGATTCAAGCTTAAAGACCAAACGTAGCAATAGAAAAATCAATGACGTGATCTATCCAAAATTCTAGAGACTTATTTCTGACAGTCATCAATCATAAACTATAGGAGAAACGATTATTTTTAAGAACACTTTGATTCATTTTATTTATCTCAATCGCAAACAACAGATGCTGCTTCATTGCCTTGCATTTTTGAAATATCACTCGTGTATGTACGTGGGTTATTTTGATATTGTAGTCCTAATATTGATCTATTGTTACTTTGAACTCAATGGTGCTTTACAATAATTAACCATATTCCATAAACACTCACCCGATAGAGGCCTCGACATTAATGGCTCTTGTGCAACCGGCACGCTTTGCGACTATCTGCGTGGCAAACAAGTCTGCGTGGGCCCACTCCAAATCATCTAATTTGCATAACAGAGGCCGCCCTGCATGCAACCCACGCGAGCGCTAATTTGGAGCCTGTACTTAAGATCTGCTAGAATTTTTGACTTCATTCAATCTTTTTTTTGAAGAAACACACAGTAGAAACACATTATTTACATACAGTAGCTATAAGGTTCAACGAACGTCTACATATGAATTCGCATATGCTTTAATTATTTGATTAAGTTTAAACACTGGGACTACATTTTGCAAGCCTATTGGTTACTTTTAAAATTTAATTTCAGAAAAAAATCCTAGGTACCGGTATAATTTTTGCAAAATAATAACCAAAATAATAATAACAAATTGTCAGCAACCTCGAAATAGGTAAAAATAACACTCAAAAGACATTGAAATGCTAATACAAAGAAAATCAAATATACAGTTGATTAAATAGTTGTTGAAAGACCAGTGTCAGAGAAAGCTTGGTTTCTTCTTCGCATCCTCTGCCCTGTCGACAAGGCTTTTCCATGCTTTTTCCACTATCTTCTGAGTGAATTCTGGTTCCCAAAGAGTGCTTATGACGACATGAGATCTACTAATGCGATCAGCACTTTTCATTTGCGATTCAATGCGAACTCGAGCTTGAGTATCGTTGAACCCATCTCTTTCGATGATTCTTTTCACAGCCTCTCCCACAGGCACTGAGGTTACCCACACTTCGTTAACCAAATTGTCCCAACCTGCTTCAAGAAGAACAGCGGCCTCTATAACACAAACTTTTATACCATCTTCAGCCATTTTTCTTAGCTTTTCTTGAACCATACTTGCAATTTCTGGCCAGACGATTTCATTAAGACGGTCCAACTTTTTTCTGTCACTAAAAACAATAGAGCCTAAAGCCCTACGATTGACGGTGTTATCTTCATTCAAAATGCTCTCTCCAAACTCGTCAATAAGTTTTTCATAAGCACGTGCTCCAGGCAAATAAGCCTGGTGTCCTAATTTGTCGCAATTGATCGCAGAGGCACCGAGTTTTTGCAGCCTCCGTGTGACAGAAGATTTGCCACTGGCAATACCCCCTGTCAGACCAATGACATATGGTTTATTCCTTGGGAGCAATTTAGGTTCCTTCCTCAAAAGCCCTAGCTCTCTTATTCGCTCTCCACTTGAGCTAAGCTTATTTTGTGATTGCAAATCAACAGCTAGGTCAGAATTGTCACCATCAAGCATATCAATGGCAAAGATCTCAAGTGGGTGCAAGTCATTGCTTTTGCGAGTATCATTCACATATTGCCCGCCTTTGATAGTCTCTTGACTAATGACAAGCAACTGCAGGTCATCGTCAGTTCCTGATGGACCAGCTGGCTCTTCAATCGCAACAACCTTCTTCACAAGTCCTAACAAGAGAAAAAATGTACTTTCAAGCAAAGCTAGAACAGAAAAAACAACAGGAAGTCTTTAGAATGATACTTCATTGTTGAGAACCTGCACTTCGTTTAAGAGTATTGGGACAAACTTCAAAATTTCGGAAACATTTTATGGAACAAAGTTGGAAACACTTTTTAAAAATCTTTGTCATTAAAAAAGTACGGCAGCTGTTTCCACAAAATTTTAACAAGACATTGTTGATGTTTCGATGCCTTTTATGTAAGCCAAAATATTCACAAAACATCAACCATAAAATTTAGGCCTTTGGACGTAAGCATGGGAGTTCAAGTAAAAAAATCATGTACTGAGTTACGAGAAACGTTTGCAAATTGCTTTCTGCGAAAAAAGCATGATAGGATTCCGTGAAATCGCATTAATTGTTGGCTGCTCAATGAGTGCAGCTTTTGTGGTGTGTAAAAATTTTTTCCTTAAATAAGAGCAAAAACTTTACCATGGGTAAGCAGATATAATAGAATTGCAAATTTACCAACAGAAATGAACTTTTCTTTTGTTAGCTCATGTTAGCTCAAACATTTTAGGTCCTTTCCAAATAAAAGGATATAAGAAAAGGCGATTCAGCAGCAAATGCAAACAATGTCAAAATAACAATTGCTCTCTATTATAAAAATTATGGTGGAGGACGAGTGAACTGGGATAACATGGGTGCAAAAACTTTACTTTGATGCCATTCGCTTCTATATCTGTCATTTCAATCCAATATTGGCCATCATTGTTGCTAAGCAAATCGGGGATGATTTGATACTTGCAAAGTTAGAACAATTTTTTGTGATTTGTTTCCAACAAAATAACATTTCTGCTCAAATTTGTCTTCTTCTGAGACATACTTAATCTTTATTGCGTTAGAGGAGGATGGCATAAACTGATGATGACGTCTGGTTCTAGGTTCTTCTTGTCAAGTAGAACCTACAGGCCAGTGAAGTTCTGACACACTTAATATCGCTTGATTGAGCACAAACAAATTTAGTTTCTTTAATTTAATTTTTGACTAAATTCAAGCATCTTTTTGGCAGTGAAGATTTCAACATCAATGGGAAGTTGTTGGCTTTCCTTTGCAGTTATTCTTTTCACCATTCCTCCAATCCCATCACTGGGTGATTTCCAATGGCTTGCTGCAAGAAATTCCAAACAAAGTCCACAGAAAAATGTGCAGCATAAACATCTGAAAAAGTATTGGAATTTTTCCAAGGAAGGTTTCATTTCCTTCTTTATGCATGCCACTGTTTCCTGTAGCAATTTGTAAACAAAACTGACATCATGTTCCAAATCATCAGACAATATGCAGATCGAAGATTCATCGAGGGCATCTTTCGTTCTGAAGTTTACTACAAAAGGGTGGAGTGAGTACTGACATTTATTCCAGTTGGCATTCCTAGATCTCATCTTGCACTATAAAAGAATAGTTCTCTGCAAAGTCATCTAGGACAATTGCTTCATGTTGCCTAATTGTTTCTTTGAGTTGTCCCAAGTAGCTTGATTGTGTCCAAGCAATAAAAAGGTGAGAAGTGATTTTTATCTAAGCCTTTCACTAAAAGCATCAATGAAGTCCTTCAGAGTAAGTTTCATTAATGCTAAGTCAGGTCAATAAGTTGTTGTCCACTGTCTGAACTCAATCTCAACATCTTCAACATTGTCACTACCTTCCTGGTGCCCTAAATCTAGATCATCTGCATATTTCTTTACCATATGTTGATTAAAAAACTCCTCAACTGGCTCACTGCCTGGGCAACTCTTACAATAATACTTAGCATCAGCTTAACATTTTGAAACATAGCAGAGGTACAGACTTAATGTGTTCTGCAAAGATTGAAAAGGTCATTTAGGTTGAAAAATGGCAAACCTTGAAAATCCATTTTCATGTTTTGGGTGTCTTAATTTGTATGCAGTATAAAGTTATTCTAAGTTGCACAAGAACAACCTTTTGATATATGTTGGTTTTCTTAACACTGACATAATTTTTCTTGCCAGGAAGCTGTCTAGAAACTTCATCATGGCAATAGAATGATTGCATTGTGTCTATTATTTCCTCAGATAGTCTTAGTTGCATGTAAAATTAGGGTATTCTGATATTCCTTTCTGGATGCACAAAAATCATTTTCTACCCTTTGAAACAGAGGAAACATCTGTTACTTTCCTTTTTTACCAAGAGTTAGGGTCAAAAGTCAAAATCTGCAGCCTCTGTCTTCTGTTGGAAATTCTCAGCTTCTCCTTCATGCAGTGGACAAGGTAATCCAAATCAACTGTTTTAGATTGGGTTTCTGCATCAATATTTTTTCTGACCTTTGGTCCAAATTCAGTTTAATCAACCTCCAGGACAGAGGCAAGTTGACAGGAGACATCATGCTCCAATTGCTGTAGATTTCTCTTTCCAAGGCTTTCGAGTATAAAGTCACTGAATGAACCTCCAGGGGGACAAGTCAAGCTCACACAAGTGACTCCCTTGTTGTGTCTCATTGTATCTCATCTCTCATAGAGATCTTCTGGCGTTTTTGTTACCTGAGATCTACATTGTGGACAGAGCTTTTGACAAGATTTACAAATAGATCATTATTGCACAACCATTTGCAGCTTTCACAGCAATTGGACAAACAATGTATAAAGAGACACAAACAATATAGCAGTGGAGAAGCAACAAAGCAAAACATGAAATACAGAAAGATACAAGTGTTTTGACTTGATCTGATCATTCAAGCAATGCTTTATATAAAACAGAACCATATTCTGTTGACTAGAGACAGGTATTGTCAACATATTGCTTTGAAAAATAGACTTATATGTTTCTGAGGGCTTATAGGGTTCTTTTATAATCCTTGTAGCAGGAAACACAGTTTCCAGTGTGGCACATTTAAATATTGGTAGTGCTATTTGTGAAAAATGTTAGTCACTAGGGACTTTGCAGGGCCAATATGCAAAACTTGTAAATGGAAAATTTGAGATGGCAACAGTTTTCATGTATTGCAGGCACACAACAGGTTTCCAGTCTGTACCATGTGGGTAATCTTACACCCACATTGAAATTTTTCCATGAAAAGGTTTAAGCCAAGAATCTGGGGCATTGCGTTTTGGCCCATTTTAGGAAAGACTTAAAAATAGTGATAAAGCAATTTCCCTAACCTGGTTTCATATCTTCAATTAAATCTTCCACATTCCCAATTCGATAGTCAACAGGTTCAATCAACTCTTCAAGAATCTTCCCTTCTAAAAGTGGCCCATCTGCTACACCAACAGTAAGTTTCTTTTCAGCACATAAGGCAGCAGTGCCGATCAGTATTTTGTGGCCATTGTGAATTTTGTCAAATGTACCACCGATCACAACCCCAGGATAGGTGTTAAACTTTCTTTGAGTGTCATCAAGTATTTGTCCTTCCGGTGGGTCATTTTGTATATCTGCATGAACTTTCAGGTCATCCCCTGCATGAACGTATTTCAAATGGAAACGTCCGTTGTGGAACACATACCTGGAACTCACAACATGCTCAAACTCCATCAGATTTCTTATTGAAGAAGTATTGCCGATGCAGAGCTCAATAGGTCGGGAAGTCGATCTTGGTACAGATCCGAGTCCTGCGGGGGGCAGCAAAACCCGAACATCGATTCCTGCACATAACTCTGCGGCATTTTTGTAAACTTCAGACATAAAATTGTAAAATTCTCTAATATTTAACACGTTGCCTCCAGATCGTGTCCCGGTTGGAAGAGAAGCCGGCTGTGCAAGGGATGTTGTTAACAAATCGACATACAAAGTCTTGTTCACGCATTTTGCAGCCTCTGTTAAAATTTTCTGTAGGAAAGTCAATTTAGGGCGATATGTAAGAACCAATACTCCACTTTTGAACAATGCGGTCATTTTTGAGTCATAAACTTTCACATACACGACGCACCGGCCTCTAACACCATTTGCATGAAAACATTAGTCTCTTGGTTTTACCTCGATTTCAAAGTGAGGGCAAGAGAAGTTGCTGCTGGAGAATGGGTTGGATATCATGCCATGTCATCTCACCCCGCCCGGGTGACAATAGCCCCCAGCCTCTGGACTATGTATGAGCTCACTCACGTCATGTCTCTTGCTTTTTTATTGGAGGGGTATGGGGGGCCAAAGGCCCCTTAATAATAATAATAATATATCTCGCCAAATCTCCGTTTCGGAGCAGTTACTGTGGCACAAACACAGAATTGCCAGGAAAGACGTCATGTGCAGTATAGTACCACAGGCTAATTTTAACTTAAGTTTGAAAAAGTTCAACCAATCTCTCGATTTCTGTCAGGCCTTTTGCTTTGCTTTTTAGAATTTGTTCCATTCCTGGAAGGTGAATTTTTCGCATTGCCATAAATGTTCTAAGTTTTCTTCATGTAATCCACACCTTTTGCAACTTATATTATCATATTTTCCTTTGTAATTAGCTTTTAAATCGGTCATGTGTAGTTTCAATTTTAGTAACGTTGGTCCCTTTTTATGTTTTATATATTCTTTTATTCCAAAATTGCCTTTCTTATGAACCTCATCTTTGTTTTATTGCTATTCTTAACTTGCTGCTCTATCTTCTTTATGATTTTGCTTTTTAATATTTTTTTCCAATATTTCCTTGATAGATCTGAAATTTGTTTTTCTGAGCATTGTATATTTAGTTCAATCAAGTCATTCATTATTTCATAATACCAACCATTTCTTAGGTTAAGCTGCTTTTGTTCTTGGTATACTTGTTTTGTCCTTGGTATACTTGATCCCTTGATAATGGCCTCTTGTAATTATCAGATTCATTTGACTGTAGTTCCTTATTCATACGATATTTCTCAAAACTTGCCAGGGGTTAGCCCATTTTCAAGATGGGTTTTCAAGAGCCTATTTAAAGTCCTCTTTCATTAAAGCCTGCCATATTCCTTATTTTTTCTTCCGGCGTCCCTGGATCCAACCACGTAGCTGTAGATGTCGGATAGGGTGGGCAAACTCGAGCAAGAACAAAATTACATAAAAACCCCTCATTTAGGCTGTAAAATGTATCGTCAAAAATAATTGAGGAGAGAGGCCTAAGTACTGATCCCTGTGGTGCTTCTTGTTCTGGTTCATAACAACAGGTGTAAGTTCATTTTACTTGGATTCTTTGCTTTCTGAAACATTCTTGCATAAGTAAAAGAAAATAATTTTCTACTCTATAAGAATGTAGTTTTGTTAAAAGACGATTCTTTGCTCGAAAGTCAAACGTTTTTGGTAAATCTATTGAAATGGCACCAGTATATCAAAACTATTTCAAATGCTTAAAAGCTGTATCTTGCCAGACGAATGTCTACAACAATTAGGGGGAGTGTCTACAGACGAATGAAAAACGTTTTCGCGGACAATATGGATGGAGGTTACCGTAATGGCAGTGGTTTGGATCGTGGGCTGCAGAACCAATGATCCCGTGTTCGAATCCCTAACACGACCAAATTTTCACTTAGAGTGAAGCAAGGATGCGGTAAGAAGATCTTTTACTGGCCTAAATTGAAGCTATGAATTCTTAATAGAATTATTGTCTATTTAGCAAATAAACATGCGTATGCTAACAATTCACCAGGTTAATCTTACGTGCAACATCAAACATTTATTAGTTATATCAAAATCAACCCAGTGCCAACGTTTGCGACATTGTTTGTGACATTGTCTGTGACAAACGCTTAACTGCTGCCATTGACCCTCCTTCGTTTATTTTCACGAGTATTCGGGCTTCAATTCTGATGACTTTCAATCAGTGGCGTAGCGTGAGCGCAGAACTTAGGCATGCGGTAACATAAAATATACGGCTATGTTGAATAAATGTAATGGTAATTTCAGTTTCTAAAAAATACAAGCGGTAATTAATGATAATCGTGATAGCAAATTTTGATTTTCAAAGTAAAAAATCATTTGTACTCTAATTCTAATCAATCAAGGTGTCTATTCTTTGCATCAGAGGCTCCGACAGAGGTTGGAAAGTGAAGGGGGGCCAAAGGAAAAATTATCACCCATGCGAAAGTTTTTGAAAAAAGCTCAATTGTTTAGCAAGACTTTTCAGAATAACTCCTAGTGCTAAAACTGCTTTGCAAAATATTTTATTCTTATTCATATTCCTCAAGAAAAGGCATCACCTAATGCCCACCTAATGTAAGAATTTTTTATGCTATAATGAAGCTGGGGATTCCCGCAAGAAGGAGCTCTCCACATTGCGAAATTGTTAACACACTGCAGAGCCTAAGCGAACAGGAGCAACAGTTTCTGCTCATTTTTTACTCTCATAGTTAATTAAGATGAAAATAGTGAGCTGTGAGAGTTGTTAGAATTGAAGATGCTTCCATGTGTAAAGTTTCAGAAAGTTAGTCCCGGCAAATCATCATGTATTTAGCAAGGCTTGCGCTCAGGTCTACCGCATGCCCTGGTCCGTAAATTCTGACTATACTGGCAAGTCTTTTGACTTGAATTACGGAATGCGGATCATGACAAATAGACTCTGACCCCACTTTGATGAAACTTTTTCTCTTTTCAACAGTCACAAAGTAAAGAAAGGAAAATAATTGGATTTGAAATGATGTATCACGCAAAGAGTATTCGCAAAAAGCAGCTTATAGGTAGAAAAATGTTGTGGATTATCAAATATTTGGGAAGGCTTGCGCTCAGGCCGACCGCAAGCTCCAGTCCGGAAAATTCTCACTTCTCTCAGAAGCTTCTTTCGAGTTGCACTGAAGCTGCACTGGAGCATCACATGTTTCTCTTATTTTGGACAGGCAAAAAGAGTGATGTGGAGGGGCTTCAGTTTTTCAGATTTTTCGAATTTCATAATTTTTAGCGATCTGTTTACTTGGAAAAATAGCCAATTGGGGCCAATTGGGGCCAATTGGCCTGTTGGCGCTAGAGTTCACTGCATGCTGCTCATGACAAGAAAGAGAAGCCGTTTATTGCGGAAATTGTTATGCAAGTGTTGCAAGAATTTTAGAATTTGTCTATAAATTATTACGCTTGCGCCGCAAGCGTAGCATACATAGGCGCTACGCCACTGCTTTCAATCTAATTCCTATGTTTAACAGGCACCAAAATGAAACCAGGGATTGGATAAATATTGTACCATCTATATGTGTAAAGATGAGAGATTCTAAACAGATGGTAGCCTGTGCTCCAGACCCCGAACTTGAAAGTGGAGAAGGCAGATCAAAATCTCACGCATTGGAGAAGCAAGAAACAACAGAAATCACAAAACTATTTAACAAAGAATAATAAGGACAAATAACGGAACATAGGCTTCACAGTTATGGGAGGTCGGGTAAAAAACACAATAGAATCAGGTATTAGTCAGAAGAGCAAAACAAAGCGACGATGAGAATCCAATGTTGTGTAATATAGTTTTAGAATATATTGAAATTAAAGAAAATTAATATTTTGCCCGGTATATACGAATGTAGGCACTGAAAATAGGGAGGGGGGGGTGGCGTTAGCACAACGAGTGCATTTACGAGCATTTACTAGAAATGAGTTTTTGGCAGTAGAATATTGTTTTACAAATGTACACTGAAATTGAATAGAAATTAGTGGTAAATATATCTTAATACTCTCTTCTTTTTACTGGGGGCTACAGTATAGAGGGGACCTAAAAACAATGGGGTATCGTTTAGATGGAGCGTTGAAAAGAGGTGTAAAATGAAAAGTTTTCAGGAGCAGATTCTCCTTACAATACTGAACTCAGAGATTCCTTACAATCATGAAAGTATCCAGGAAGTTTCAAGTTTATGTATGTAGTACACTCCTCTCACGAAAGTATCCGGACAGTATCGAATTTACATAGTTGCAAATGTGTTTCGAGAAAAAGTTTGCTAAGGCTGTGTTATTGCTATGTAATCAAACATTGTGACGATTATTTTGCTAAATTGTTGTAGTAACCGAAAAGAAGGAATTCACTTAAATAGCAGTTGAAAGGGCCGAGGAAAAGGGAGCGATTTGGTGGCAAATTGCCCTAGGGCTTTTGGGCTTTGAGGGCCTACTATAGAATTGCATTCCATTTTAAAAATAGAATAAATGAAACGTAGCAAAAATTTACTTAAAATAGTAAAAAGTTATAAACGATTGAAAGAAATGACTAAAAGAAGTATTCTGCGATGCATTTTAAGGTAATATGAAGGGCGTGGTCGCAAAAAATTCAGCTTGATCTGCTCGCAGGGGTTTGCGGCATTACTCAAATTGCAACAAGTGTGAATAAGAAAATTGAAACTTCACATTATGTTGGTTAATGTTGCAAGGAAAGTAAAAAGTAATACAGAATTAGAAAAGAGAAAAGCTACATATGACGTTTATTGTGTTTGATCAGCCAACCATTGCCACCAACAAAAGCCATAGCTTTTCCAAACGCATTTGCAAAATGGGAGAGTTTTCCCGAAATCTGAAGGGTGTAGTCAGCAAAAATGTTCCCGGGGGTAAAGCCCCGCACCCTCTGCTGTTGGACTCCTCTTTGCCTCTCCTATCTTCTAACTCTGGCTACGCCACTGGTCTGGAACACAAGCTACCTGTACCTGCGCATCATGTTCATTTTATTTATACTTATAAGAACCAAAAATTATTTCTTCAACACAGTGCCCCCGAGAAAAATGTGCAACTCCAAATCTTCTTTAAAAAAACCCTGTCCGATTCTACGGAAAACTCCGTACGTACAGAATTTTGATTGGGTCCAGAGTCTCCCAGAAAAGAAAGTTATCAACCACTATTACGCGATCACAGAAAGGAAATTTAATAATTTAGAACAAAGAAAATGTTCATGCCACAGAATAAGAAAATGATTTTTTCCTATTTTGCAAATTACCATGGAAACGGCCTGCAGCCTCGATATAAGGGGTGAACTTTTAAGGAGAGCAATTGTAAAGGTGGTAGCTGCCGTTCCATGGAACACCAAAACATGACAGTACCTTTCTGATCTTGCAGCGTTTTGGTAAATATTTCAAGCTTTCTAGTCTCTGTTAGACTGTGGAAATCACGGATATGGGACGAAAAGCCACCCTTGCAACATGTTCGCTCAGCCAATGGGCAATGGACTTCGATGGAAATCTGCAGAGAATCCTCGAAAGTATTCTGATTGCAAAAGAGAAAGGAGCAAGGTACCGTCTTGGGCCAGAATTAGAAATCCCAGGCTACGGGTGTAACGATCATTTTATCGAGTCAGATACCTTTCTGCATTCCTGGGAAGTGTTAGCATGTCTTTTGGAAAATCAAATATGTCGAGATATCTTGATTGATGTTGGAATGCCCGTGATGCATAAAAATATTCGTTACAACTGTCGCGTCATCTTCTTGAACAAACGCATCTACCTGATCCGTCCAAAGCTAATGCTTGCCCTGAGTGGTAACTACAGAGAAAGGAGGTTTTTCACTCCGTGGACAAGAGTATGCTATCTTTCGATACAGTTTTTATTACTTATATATCTTTATCTGCAAGCATTTTGCGGAAGCTACCAATTACTTTATCTAATATTCCAACTAAAGTAAAAGTATAGATTCCAGGGTGGAATCCATGTGAAGCTCACGCCGGACATACGCCAATAAAGAATAGAAAGACAACAGGAAATCATTAGTCTATGCCGGATATCTCTGGCGTAAGCTACATGGATTCCACATTGGTATAGATTTGAATAACCAATTTTTGATAAATTGCTAATAAACACAAAAAAGTCACATAAGAAATTAGAATTAATGCTAAAAAGAAGGGCTTTATAAATCCTATCTGGTGTGTGATCCTTGATAGTCTGACTAGGAAATCTCTGTCTCAATTTTTGTTGATCCATTTGAAAACTGAAGTTCTGTTACTTACACATTATACTTGAGTTGTTAAATGCAATTTTCTTATAGCAAAGAGAGACAGAGGAGTATTTCCTTCCAAGAATGATAACAAAAATTACAGGCCAAACAACAGTTCCTTTCGGTGATGCAGTTATAGCTACAAGGGATACATGTCTTGGGTCAGAGATGTGTGAGGAAATGTTTGTGCCAAATAATCCCCATATTCATATGGCAAAAGATGGTGTAGAAATAATCACAAATGGCAGTGGGAGTCATCATTCGCTAAGAAAACTTAATGAGAGGATGGACCTTATTTTAAATGGTACTGCTAGAGTAAGTTTTTTATACTTCATGGAGGTTTTTAATTTTTGGCAGTTTTTTAGCTGAAAGATCCATAGCCAAATCACAATATTGATAATGAGCCCTTGAAAGATACAATATTGATATGTCAGAATATACAGTATAGTAAGTTTTTGCAATGAGTAAAGAATGTAATCAGAGATGAAAAAGAAACCTTATACTCTCATTGCTCTCTCCAAAGAAGGCTGATTAATCATTGTCAGGTACTTATGCTTCTGACATTTTTACTCTAAAGAGTGTTGGACAGAGATTACTTGTGTACATGCTATGTTTCCATTTCATGCTATCTCAAATATTTGCAGTACCTAGGCTTATTTGATTCGGAAAGTTCTTGTTTTCTTTTTTTTGCAATGCACAAGTCGCAAAATTGTAATAACATTTTCTGCAGACCTTTTTCTGCCAGAGAAATTTTGGAGCTAAATGAAATAAAAAAAAAATTTTACCAATCTCATAAAATACTTAGATTTTCAGTGGCAACCATTCAGAAATTTTTCTGCAAGGAAAACATTGCTAAAACAAAGTTTATATAAATTCAGTTTTATTTTCACTTTTTTTCACCATTGAAGTTCTTTTATGTAGAAATATGTTGATGTAGAAGTGTTGCTAGATTGTATTAATATACAGGCTTTTAATGTATTAAACAGGATAGTTCTAGTGGCTACTCCTAGTTTCACACTTAATGCAATCATCAGGCAACTTTATCAAAACATAAGTTTATCAAACTACAAGTGATTCAGATTAACAACTTTTTTATTGTATTGTAGGCAGGTGGTGTATATTTATATTCAAATGTTAAAGGCTGTGATGGGGAGAGAGTTTACTATGATGGATCCTCACTGATTGTTATCAATGGAAAAGTACTTGCACAGGCAGCTCAGTTCTCACTTGATGAAGTGGAAGTGTTGACTGCTACAGTTGATATAGAGGATGTCAGATCATACCGTGGAAGGTCCAACAACTCTGGATTGGATAATACAAGGAATGAGGTGTACAGGCGAATCTTTGTTGATTATGCCTTAACCCATGACGATAGCCTAGTTATTCCAGCATCACCTATAATTGATATGTTCTATCATACTCCAGAGGAAGAAATCGCTCTGGGACCAGCTTGTTGGCTGTGGGATTATCTAAGAAGATCAGGATCCTCTGGGTTTTTTTTACCACTCAGTGGAGGTGGGTTAACACCATAGAATATATAGCAAAGAGGTATAGGTTCAGTGGGAACAAAGGGGTGCTGCAACCCCAGACAAAAAACATGTTTCAAAAAACGAGGCATTTTGCCACCTGGAGCTGCTTGGTTGATAAATTTTCCAACCTGTCCACAGTTAAGAATGATTCGCCAACTTTTCAACAAAAGGGATCTGTCTGAAAACAATGAAACAATGTTTGCTATTTGGTTTATGGTTTTTTGCACTTTCGTTAAAAAAACGAAATTTCTGTTTCTTTTGACATCAAATGTTAACAAACTATAGTATTACCTGTTACAACTGGCAATGGAATAGTAAATGGTTGTGCAGGAAAGAAACAACAGATAGCGTAAAATAGCAAGAATGAGAATTGTAATATGTTATTTGCCGATCTTTATCATGTTATTTTTCGCTCTTCAGTGCTTGTTTCAGATTAAGAATCTTTTAAGAAAGAATGAGAATTGGAATTTCCTATACCGTTAAGAAACTGGAGTACTCCAAGTCAACCTTCATTTCTAATAGAAAAGAAGTGTATTTCAGTTATTTTTCTTGAATTTTTAATGCGAATCAGCATAATCTTCCATTACCCTTTAAATAACATTGTCCTGCTCTTTTTCTTTTTGAATAAATATGAGTTTCATTGGATACTACTCAATATATCTGTGTTTCATCATTTGAAAAGCAGTGGTGGTCTGTTCTTCATCATTTTTGATTGATAACAATAATTTAATTTACTGAACAAGTTAACCTATACAAATATGAAAAATTATTAATATTATTGTTATTATTTTTTTCTGTTTTAGGAATCGATAGTTCCTCAACCGCATGTATCGTGGCCTCTATGTGTAACCAGGTTTGTAAAGCAGTGAAAAATGGCAATGTTCAAGTATTGAAAGACATCCAAAGAATTGTGAAAGAGCCAGACTACATACCAACAGATTCTAAGGAATTGTGTGGTAAAATATTTGTAACTTGCTACATGGGAACTGAGAACTCGTCAGCAGAGACAAGAGAAAGAGCAGCAAATTTGGGCAGAGATATTGGAAGCTATCATCTAGGTTTGTTTCTACTGGCTAATTCTTGTGTCTAGGCTATTGAGGTTGTTGCAAGAAAATGTATGGAGTCACAAAACCACGCTCCCTTCCGCCAGCTATATAAGACATTCAGACTAAAATACCTAGGGCAGTACAGCTTGCTAAAATAGTGTCTAGATGCGTTTTGGAGAACTAATACTGAGGAATAGTTTGTTTATCTTCGGATTTTGTTTGAGATACTAAGTGAGCTATCAGTAAAACCGGGGATCGTAGTGGTTATTTCATCGTTTCTGCAGTACTTTATGATAAAAGCTGCAACAAGTGCCTATTTTACTTCCGGGGGGGTGAGGGTGGGGGGGGCTGCTTTGATTCTGTTTAGAATCTTTTTGTCATCCTAACTGCAATGGTTCTTGTAAGTTTCTGTGATTCCAATAGGCACTTAACCAATCCCACTGTCACAGCATTAAAAAACGTTCTCAAACGAATCTTACTTCAAATCCATGTTGGTTTTCCAAGTTCATTTCTTTTTTGGTTATGTTTAAAGGTAGTTAAGTTTATTTCCAACGCCAAAATATTTCTAAAAATTGTTATGTGATCAACCTTTAGTACAATGTTTAAAGAAAAATGAAGGGGTTATAGTCGAACCTTCTGCGTTCGAACAAAACGTCCTGCGTTCGAATCGAAATTTCCCCGAGATGAATTATCACAGATTTAAAGCTTTGCCAAGCTGACCGCAACAGCGTAAATCTTGTAAAGTGCTTTACACTATCGTTTTCGCTCCTTTTAGCGATCATAGAAAATTTTGTACCAAAGTATGGTAGTGTAATTTGCCCCAATGGGAAGCTCTTGGCCACTGCCGCTTTATATCCATTACAAGCGTGGCAAACATTGCTTAATGTTATTTTTCTCGTTGTTGCAGGCATAGTAATCGATACAGCAGTGCGAGCGCTTGTTGGTATATTTACTACTGTTACCGGATCAAGCCCGCGGTTTCGAGCACATGGAGGGACTCAGCAAGAAAATCTTGCCTTGCAAAACATACAAGCTCGTACTCGAATGGTGATCAGCTATTTATTTGCCCAGCTAATTTGCTGGTCTAGAAACAAACAGGGTTCTTTGCTGGTACTTGGTTCAGCAAATGTCGATGAAAGGTGTGAGTTATGATTTGATACGAAAAACCACTTTGTTTAGATATCTGATTGGGCCATTGCCATCTGAAAATAAACATAGCAGAAAAAGAGAGCCATATTTCGCCTAACTACCTAACCTCATATCAAAGTTTACGGAGCAAACTGTTATAGCCCAGTGTACCTACAGTTCTTAAAATATTAATCCTGCGGGGTCATGCCTGTTTTATCTCTGTTTATATGAAATTTATGTGCCATGAGAATGCGAAACGACGCTAGCTTTTCAAAGGCTATACAAAAAAGAGAAATCCCATTTTCATTTTGCTTTCTTAATACATTACAGTCTTCTTGGATACATGACGAAATACGATTGCTCAAGTGCAGATCTCAATCCCATTGGCGGTATTAGCAAGACAGATCTTCGATCGTTCATCTTCTATTGCGTAGAGAAATTCAACTTTACATCATTGATACCAATCCTAGGAGCACCACCAACTGCAGAGCTAGAACCACTTGAAAATGGCCAGATTCAACAGACTGACGAGGTTAGGCTTCCTTTTACCCGCGAGCTTATTTGTAACCGCGAGATTGTGTTGCACCCGCGAGATCTTTTTTTACCCGGGAGATCTTTTTTTTGTTTTTCATGCAGTACTTGTAAATATATTATGTTTAATGAATGATTAAAATTTTTAGAGTGATATGGGCCTTTCATACGAGGAATTGTCAGTTTTCGGGAAGTTCCGCAAGGTTTATGCATGTGGGCCATACAGCATGTTCACAAAACTACTTGGAGAGTGGAGTCAGAAGCTATCACCGACGGCCATTGCCGATAAAGTCAAGCTATTCTTCAGAAAACATGCTATAAATAGACACAAAATGACAGTTTTGACGCCGGCCTATCACGCCGAAAGCTACTCGCCGGACGACAACAGGTAAGCCATTTATTTGCTTTTCTACACAAAGCCCAGTAGAATCAACACTAGCCCTGCTCTTCTTCATCTCTTTAGAAGGCTGCCTTTTTTAGTTTTCACCTCGTTTTGAATCCACCAGCAATAGCTCGTTTGTCTTTTTCCGTCTAAATCAGCGGTTGTAAAGAGTTACGCGTATTTCTTAATATCAATTTTCCTCCACTCGTACCTAGCGCTGACATTGGACTTGTGACCTGATGGGTTTTCGCTTTAGATATTTGATCAATTACATCAAGAATTGTATTATCGATCTTTTCCATATCTCTTTTTTATAAGAGCTAATGGTTGTGATGACTCAATTTGTGCTTGTTAGGTTTGATCTGAGGCCGTTCCTGTATCGTGTCAGCTGGCCATGGCAGTTTAGCCGTATTGACAGGGCGTTGCATACAGTGACAAGCAGGCTCGCCCAGATGACAGAGGGCTCATTAGAAGCGAAACACACTTCTACCAACCATGGATCGTCTTCCTCATCAGCAACGGCATCCACAGATAATGCAGGTTTGCCTGAGGCTCTACGATTTACGAGTAATGAGAAGAGAGAGGAGTGATTTTTTAATTCATGCATTTTAAGAAGATGCCGTAGTTGTAGCAGAATTTTGTTTAAACTCCTGTTTATAAGAACCAGGTATCAGCCGAGGCTCGAGATTTTTGTTTCCTGGATTGTCTGATCGAGTGCTCCTAATTTTGTTCTTATTTCAACACTGATTGCTCACGACGACTTGTTTCTTAGGCCGTCAAGTAACAATGTCGTTTTTAGTAGCACAGTTGATGAGCTCCTAAAATCTGTTCTGTTTTTTCAACACGAGCGAAAATTTTCAGTACCATTTTTACGATATACATCCATTTCCTTTTTACAATACGAATTTTTCGTTTGAAGCAGGCCATGTTCTTACGTTTTTCTCATTTTTATAGACAATAGAGCCTCGGTGCTCTTATATTGTGTATTCTTAATAAAAAAAGGAGTTTATTACTTACAAATACTTCTGGACATTGTCAATAGTAACTGATGCATATTTCTATGTAAAATGCATGTTCTGGCATTCTGTTCTTAAATACTACTATTTCCGTTCCCTCATAACAATGCTGATAGATTAGTTAAATATCTAACAAGTCACACAAAAATATGTACATCCTGATGTCTTAAATATTGTAAACTAACTTTACTTCAATGGGGAGAAGTGGTGTTTGAATTCAAAGACCTTTGGCAGAGATTGTAACTTTATCAGCATTGTCGGTGAATCTGTTCTTATTTTGATGCTGTTGAGCTTCAAAAATCAAGAGACGTCCTGTTTGATTATGTTGAAAATCAGTTTTTTCTATTTCTAGGCCCGAATTCCTCCGAAGCAGTGAAGACTGAGCCTATAGAAATGGACAAGAACAACTTGGAAGACAAAAACTGTGGAGGCGAAAACGAGGAGCAAACTTCAGGAACTCTGGAAGGAGACTTGGGTCATCGAAAAAGAAAATTGCATAGGCATGAGGTAACTGTTTGCCCTGCAAAGCTGCTCAAAACGTGAGTTTTTAATCTGGGAAAATATCATGGAGATGGTGTTACTAACATTAGAAGGTGTTGGCCAAGACATCTGAGCACCCTCCTGTCTTTTTAACATTTTTCATATGATTCCGTTCAAAGTCTTTTGAAATAATTTTGTAATTATATTTCACCTCTTTGAAATATAGCCTCTTGATCTGGACCCTCGTTTTTGGTTTGTTAATGGTTGTTTGATTTTTGTATAATTTAGTCATGTATGTCACAACTTATATTATTGGTTTAAACATGAAACTTGCTGGCGCTAAAATTCCCGTGATTGAAGATGAGTTTTTTGTTTATAAAAATTTAACCGAAGATTACCAACCATATTATGCTTTCGGGGACACTTCTTCTTGCCGGAATTCCTTTGATAAATCCCAATTCTCAATTATTTAGTCCCTGTCTTCCTTTGCGTACTGTCTCACGATCAATATTTTCGTAGAAACTATTAAATTATAACACTATAAACACATTTCATGCATAAAGCATTGAACGCTCTGTTTATTTCGACCCGAAACATTAACGGTAAAATCGAGGAGATTTTTGCATTTTATATGTAAGGCTTACTCGAAAAGATTTTTCCTTTAAAAGGTAACGGGCTCAAGAGACGCAATGACGAAAATTGTTTCTTGCCTACGTGTGTTGTCTGTACTCCTGGCTGGAAAACTTGCATATGCTCGCAGCTACGCTGGTCTTCTTGTAATCGCATCAGGCCAAAAATATCAAAGACTTCGTGTATATTATACTACAGGAAAATTATCTTGACTACAGAAATGCATATATGTGCATTGGTCCCACTGATCGTCGGCGAAACTATACTTGTTTTCCAACCTGGTCTGTACTACCTTGCGTTCATCATTTTTACCACCTCATAACACTTAAGAAGGGAACATCTATTCGAGAAAGCCACTCTCCTTTGATATCACCCAAATGAACTCTTCTCGAAATGCAACCTTGAGTAAAAATCTGTGTGTAATTTACTGCAATAAGATCCTAATATCAAACTCGTGTTCTTCGTACAATTTGAACATTTTCCTTAACTAAGCCGCCTTTCTAGAAAAACTTTTTGAATTTATATTGTTGATGTCTTTTCTGAAATATTTTCTTGGTATTTAAAGTTTGTTTGAGAGGATCGGATCGGCGCAATGTTATGCAGAGAAAACATTGATTTGATTTATCAGTTCTAAGTTGGCCAAGGTAAATTAGCTAAGATCTGGAAGTCGTCGTTGAAAAGAGATGTCAAAGTGCGTCCGTTTGTTGCCACCGTCGAATTAGTGCTCTTGTACAACTGCAATACTTGGTCGTTGGCTAGCCGGATAAAGGTAGTGTGTCGCGCTGTTCATTGGCAATTGTTTGTTGAATTTTGAGGGTCCTCGAAATTAGAGAAGCGTGACAAATTAGTACAACTGATCAATAGTAAGTTAGGAGCCTCCTTTGTTACGAAATGAAAACTCACTGAAATAGAAATTTTGTTCTTTGTTTCGATAAACCAATAAACGGCGTGACGTACTGCCTTTAACAAAAAAGATTGATGGTACATACAAAAGAATTTTAAGAATGGCCCTGAACGTATCATGGAAGCAGCACACGACCATCTATACGGAAAGCTACCATCAGTAAGACAAGAGATTGCGGAAAGAAGAATAAGATTAGCCGGATACTGCGTAAAGCATCCTGAGGAAATGGCTTTCCAGTTTGGGCTTTGGGAACCCACACAAAGACATTCGTCAAGAGGATAAAGGCCAGTAAGCTACAATGACAACATTAAAAGTGACACTGGCCTGGAGGACGTGCAGAACATCAGGAATCTGATGGGGGACACAGAGAGAGCTGGAGTGGGATTGTCAGTGGTGTTCGGCCGGGAGGTCGACCAAAGACAGATTTTCATTTCTAAACTAGTAAAATTTGATGCTCCTTAAAAAGCACCGTTTGTTGGGCGTTGGGGAGAGGTCTGTTGTTTGGCTAAACCTCTTCTTGACATAAGATGAATATAGAAGTGGCTTATGCAAGGGATCTGGGCAGGCTGCAAATAGTCAACTAAAGAGGATAAGTTTTCAGATTTGATTGATGGTTTAGCAACTTTTGTGCAGTTCTTCTTTGTTAAACTATTCGCTGCACAGTAGGCTACCATTAAATGTGAGCGTTTGCACAACGTCTGTTCAAACTTGCAACAAAGAATACAAAATAATTAGAGTATCACTGTTTGGCAGCTTAAGGTTTCATGTGAGCAGTTTTGAGGAACTTTTCAAGAAGTGTTTTGGAAAACGTAACGATAGTGTCATCGACGTAGTGAAGTGTTGCAAAGCTGTGGGTGTCATTTAGAGAGGTGTCACTAAAGCTATCCCTAAAACCTGCCTATGAAACTCTTTACAATTTACTATGATATAAGAAAATATGATTATATTTTTAATGTCTGCTTCATGCATGTGATCTCACCCATTTATATTTGGAAGCTTCTCAAATCTCTGATGGAATTTAAGATTTTGGTACCAATGCAAAGAACACATTCATGCTTCGATGTATAGGGAAGAAAATTATGAACAATCATTATCAAACTATTAGGGGGAAAACAGAAACTTCCATATCATCAGAAAATCAAAAGAGAGCCAGGACGCTGGAACGACCAAAGGCAATGGGGAGGCTACAGTAAAAGAGCATTTGAAGAAATACCCAGCTTCTACTAATTTTTTCGTAACTGCCATTTTCGTTCGACGTTGTGTAGGCAGCTTGGAAGCATCTTGTAAGTGACAGAATGTTTCCAAAGGTTTTGAGAATTTTCGTCATGAATAAAGCACTTGTGTCAGAGTCTCATATCAATCATTTTAATAACTACAAAAGGCTGTCAATAATGTCAAGGGCCCTCATTGGCCCCCTTTGCGCCCCCTTTCGGGCTTCCCTTGGAAGAGCCTAATCAACAGATATGATAGACTGTTCCTTTTTTGTAATAAAGGCAGGTTGCTGCCTTTTTGATAATTTAAGTTTTGTAGCTTGATTAGGTGCAAAGGAACCTATACTTGGAACCTAAATGAATTTAACTGGCAAACGTGCTTGTCTAAAGCTGAGATTAATCGGAAAAAAGTTGCAACTAACTAAGCGGAGTGATAAGATACTGTCTTAATCTCTTAAAACATCGATTGATTTATACAGCTTCCCAATGTCTACCAAAAAGTTTGACAGATTTATATGTAGATAGTAACATTTTACAATAATTACATATGTAAAATAATTATTTTCAAGACCTCCTGAGAGAAAACTCAAGCAACCACAAAAGTTCTGGTCAATGCTTAAAGAAGCCTTTCCAGCTAAGGAAGTGTCTGATCATTTTCTAGCGCAGCATTCAATATCGATGTAAAACAAAAAACAGATAAGGCTACTATTGCAAACAAGTTCTGCGAATATTTTTCCACCGTTGCAAGGAACTGAAATGCAGTAAAAATGTCATCAAGGACTATGTTTTGGGAAAACCTGTTGTGGCTGGAATCGTCGGTGTGAATTTCAAATTTAAGCACGTCAGTGAGAAAGAAGTATATGACGAGTTGAAAAATCTCAAACGATAGAAGGCACAGGGGTTAGATGATTTCCCTCAAGGCCTACTAAAAGATGCTGCAAGTTTGATTGCAAAACCATTAGCTTACGTTATTAACACGTCACTAAGCAAATGGATAATACCGACGGAATGGAAAGCTGCTAAAGTTACAACACTACATGAATTCGGTCCTAGTACTGAAATTGATAACTATAGACCGATTTGTGTTCTCCCTTCTCTTTCGATAATTCTTGAACGTATTGTTCACAGGCAGCTGTTAAATCACCTTGAAAGTATTCGCTTACCTGTCAACTATCAATTTGGTTATTGACAAAAAATGTCTACTGAATTAGCAGTAGCATTCTACATCAATTTGTCTAAGGCCCTTGATACAATAAGCCATTCTTTACTGTTGAATAAGCTCCCAAGTTATGGCATAAGTGAAGGAGAGCTGGACTGGTGTACGGATTACCTCTTTTTACGAAAGCAGTCTATCGAAATAAATGGAACAATTTCAAACGCTTACCCAGTCTTTAAAGGAGCCCCCCAAGGCTCAATATTGGGTCCACTACTATTCCTCCTTCATCTGAACGATATAGGGGGATGCTAAAGACATTCCTCGATCATCACTTATGCAGATAACACTGTTCTTTTTACAACACCTAACTGTGTACATGATATAGAAGGATGGTTGAACGAGGACATTAACAGTGCACACACATGGCTAAATGAGAATGAACGGAATCAATGTTGTTTGGAACTGGAAAGAGGTTGAATTTGCTTGGTGGGAAGCAGCTTAATATTAATGTAGAAGGAAAGATCATGAACTCAATCACAAGATATAAATATCTTGGAGTGCATTTGGACCCTACTTTGACACTTGCCACACACTTTGATAAAACCTATTAAAAAAGCTGAAAGCAGAGTGAACATGATGAGAAAAATAAGAAATAGTCTGGCATCAGATGCAGCTGAAGCATTATACAGAACAATGGTTTTACCAATTCTTACATATTGCGGTACTCCGTCACTAGAATTACCTGATCTAGACTAAAACAGATCAAAAGCATCGAGAATAGAGGAAAGAACGTAATTACATCAACACTTGGAAAGAATGTGGAAATACGAACTCCCTCAGTATCAAGCCTGATAAAAAGAGAGCATGTACTGTAGTTCATTCTGCATACAAAAATTTCAGTTAGCGTGTATCCTGCTTACAACGATTTCATTCAAAGTTGGTTCTTATGCAAAGATTTCTGTTGGCGTGTGTCTTTCATGACAGAAAACAAGGTAAGGTAGATCGCTAGGCAGTGCGAACCGGAGATGATAAATACGGGAATGGGAATTCCGCAAGGATTCTGTCTTAATCTAATTCATAATTACTTTATCTCTGCCTGAAAAGTAGCAAAAAATACACCGCAAGCTAGAAGAACTTAAAATCGAATTAGCTTGAATCGTGCCGAACATTTCCGAAACAAAAGCAACAGTACAAGGAAATTCAGTAAAGAAGTCTGAAAATGCCAAGAGGGCAAATCACTCTTTGAAAATCTCGTACAATTTTTGTGGAAACAGTTTCTGCATTGGGCAAAACAGTTTCTTGCCAAAAACGTAAAATAAGAGCACGGTTTGTTAATAAATTAAGGCCCGGTCACAGCAATGAGATTCTTGTCATCATTGTTATAATATGAGCAGCTGACCTACCAGCCTTTCGGATCTCACACTTGCATGCCAGAGTCGTAGTCTCATTTATGAGCAGAAAAGAAATGCTGTAACAGTTTAATGTAGCCATTACTGTACTATAAAGTCATTTAGAATATTTCTTGAGGTACACATCGCTACATAACTTACAAAACGTTTCAGCTAAACGTTAAGACTAAAATAATTAGCCTTCGTCTTACCTTGAAAGCTTGTGATGGCAAATCAGGAATAGTTATTTCACTTTCACTTGCGAACAATTGTTTTCCATTTCCTTTGAAGCCAACGACAAACAAACCAGCTACAAGTGGTACTTCCTGAATGAGCTTGAATTTGTCTCCTGATTAATGGCTATCTAATTAATGGCTACCTCATACCGCATTAATGGCTACCTTAAGTCATAGGCTACTTTTAAACAGAAATTAGAGCGACGAGATAAACAGACCGAAATAAGTCTAATTTCTCACAAAACTAATGTCATGCTTTTTCAATTACCTAAGAGACCTTGTGACATGCAGAGACAGCATCTGGGGAATATCTGTTTTGCATCCCAGTAGAGCAAAGCGCGAGACTCGATAACCCATGAGATTGAAAAAGGTGCACCATTGTTAGAATCTCGTTAATTATTAGATTAGTGTTTTCAAATAGTTGTTTCGTGCAATAAGCACAGATCTATGCCTGAAAAAAGTATCCATCGCACATGGGTCATTCGTACAATTTTAATAAGCTAAATGCTCCAGGGTGAGCCTTACCTAAGTACATTGTTGAAGCGGGGTAAAATTTTGGGTCGATGTAAACATTCACTAATCAAATAATGAAAGTCAGTGGCAGTACAAGGGATGATGGCAAAGGGATAACTAGCATCCCCACTCTTGACAAAACATCGTCTACACAATTCCTTAAAAAATTGATAAAATGCATAAGATAAGGGTAGGTCATGTTTTTAAGATTTCCCTGGGAAAGTACACCTGGCATAAAGCACTGAAAGTGGCAAAAGGAAGTGGCCTCATGGTTCACGCAAATCACCCTTTCATTCCGCAGTAGCTTGCGCCGCCGCTGGGAGTTGATATACATTAATGTTGAAAGTGATAAATCGCTAACAAAGTTTTCGTAATAAGTATATGCTTACGATTCTAGTTTATAAACAGAGAAAGAGTTTGCTGAGCCTAGGCCGTGGACACAGTCAGTTGCAGCTCCGTCATTGTTGTAAGTCATGTGTGCATCCGGGCCTGACCAGCATTCACCTTTATTCTTTAGTCCAAACAAGCTGTAGCCTCGTTCCCAAACCAACTTGTAACAATCGCTTGCAACACGCGTACCGTCTGATTCGCTTGTAGCTCCTGATCTGAAGAAAATGTTACCGTTGACTTCTTTAACATCTTTAGTATAGATAATGAAAGATACAAGGCTTTCCTTAAAACGTGTCCTAGAGAATTCCTCACAATAATGTCAAGTATGTATGCACTGATTTGATTGTGGCTACTGCCTAATCTGAAGTAAGATGCTTGTGTCAACGAAGGTCACTTGCTTTATGATGTTCTTAAAGACCTAAAGATTCGAAACTATTAAAAACTTTGTCGACATGCCTTTGCGATTATATCGAGTAAAGATTCTTTTAAGAAGCATATATTTTTTTAGCACTCTAAATTTCTAAAGTGTAAAATGGCACATTATTTGATGATTTTGTCACACCCTTTGACGTAACGTCAGTAATGGTAGGAAATTCTCTAATTTGGGAATTGAACCTTTAAGCTATAAAAAAACATAAGAGTCAAAAAGTATAGAGAAAGCCCAGAAAACTTCTCAACAAGGTACAGATTTTCAAGTAACTTCCTCTACTTACGTTATGAAATTGCCAATCAGATGTTTTATTGGTAGTGATGCTCCATCAGCATAACACCCAACAGAAACAATGTTTTTGTCTGGAGGTCTTTCTAAAAAGCATAGCAACTTTTTTAAAAAGTTGTTATTGCCACAGAGAAGAGCGAGGGGGAGGGGGGCTGGGTGCTAAGAGGGGTGTACTAAGGGAGATGCTAAAGGAGAGGGTAGTTGCTAAATCTTATTTCATATAATGCACTTGCAAATAAGAAGATAACAAGGTATACAATGTATCATATTCGCTAGAAAAAGAAGGATATTACAGAAAATAGCCAGAATAAGTTTTTCTAAAAAACAGTGGGACGGGTTAGATGCCCAGCCAAGTTTTACTTGTTACAATATGACTGATAACGTCTTGCAACGATGAAGATATTGATAAAAAATGTACCTGAAGGTCCAAAATGGTAGACATAAACAGTGTCGTGATCTCCTGTATTCTCATAACAACCGTTGTCTTTTCCTCTGTAGTAATAAGTGGGTGCAGCAGACTCATTTTTAGCCCAGCATTCACCATAGAATTTGATGGCAAAGAACTTTAATAGCTCTCCATAACGCTTGATGGTCTCTGGCTTCTTAATGAAATCAGCACAAGCGATCACCGTTTTTGTCATATTGTTCCTAAAGTAAAAAAAGCAAAGCCTGCATTCATTTTTTGCGCATTTCAGTTTCGAAAACAGGGCCGAAGCAAATCATTTTGCTTGATAGAAGAAGAGAGGGTAAACTAAAGCTTTTCGTCTGACACTCTTTAGAGTTTAAAACGTCAGAACATAGATCGAAAACTCTACGCTAGGAAATATATATACCCAGTTGCGGTTCGAAATAGGCCAATCAAAATCGCGAGCACATGACTGTTTAGGTTGACCATCAGTGCCGCTTGCCTATTGAGAATGTTACCAGTGGAGTCCTAAGGTGAAAACGAATTCCTTTTGTCTACACAATAGCGGTTTTTTTCGTGCTTATGTAGATAAATTCCAAAACTGCTAGATGGAACGACGATCGGGCTTTTTCAATAATCTGCAAGACAGAGGTGGCTGTTCTCTTTGGGGATGAGTTTTGTTTCTAATACTAGACGGGACATGTTGTTTTATTCTATCTTCCAATCTTTGGGTAGTGCGTCCTACGTAGCAGATCTAAAAGTACAATTAAAACATGCGATTCTGCTATCGGGCAGCATTTACTGGAAAACCCAGATTGTGCAAAAAACTATAATTGCGACATGTTTCGAATTAATGGTAAAGCCTGATCGTCGTTGCATCCAGCAGTTTTGGACGAAAAAACCGGTATTGTATAGACAATGGAGTTCGTTTTCACCTTAGGACTCCATTGGTAACATTCTCAATAGGCAAGCGGCACTGATTGGTCAACCTATACAGTCATGTGCTCGTGTTTTCTGATTGGCCTATTTCGATCCACAACTGGGTATATATATTTCCTAGCGTAGAGTTTTCGATCTATGTTCTGACGTTGCAAACTCTAAAGAGTGTCAGACGAAAAGCGTTAGTTTACTCAAATGCTTGCTTTTTTTAAAGCCATTTTCAAGTTCTGTGCCACCAAAAGATTTTTTACAAGAGAGGGTCTTAAACTATTCATTAAAAGAGCGACTATAACAATATCAGACTTCTCGCATCAGATGCTGACCCTGAAGTAGCTTGGGTAAGAACTTAAAGGATGGAGCTAATAGGAGTTGGCAAGTGGCGCTATCCCATGAACGATAAAAACTACACGACAAATTTGGAAAACTCAGAGTTACTTTAAATTGTTAGAAAATTGCATATCAGAGTTTTTCAACGAAAATCAAGCCATCACAGAGCCTTTTCCAAGAAATATTAGCTGCGGGGCAAGCCTTTGTTTATATAAGGAGGAGGATAATAGCCTATTGTTTAAATCCATGATTAACTGGAGTTGCAGGGGCAATTGCCCCGTAAATGGTATGTTTAAAAAGGCCCTGAGCAAGCATGCCAATATTATGCTTTGATTATAGTAAAGACACTCATACAGAAATTCTGGAAAGCAGGCAGAACTATTTGTTTCGTATTTTGAACTTACCAGTCAATATCATCACGCAAATTTACGACAAGGTATGGGTAATCCGAAGTTTTACCTTCTGAAAGGTAACAGCCAAGGTCATAGAACTTCTGATGCCACAAGCCTAAAAGGAGATCACAGAGTGTTCATCGTACTAGATAATCTGCTATAGTCTGTTAAAGAGAATCAAAATGTTGTCCAAATCTCGAGCCAACTTTTTTATCAAAACTGTTGAAAAGAAAACTGTTTTGCTTCTGAAGCTTTAATCCATAGATAAAAATAGAGTGCATAAAATTGCAATGGCCACTATGTTCTTTTTTCTGTACATAATTTCTTTATGTTTATGAAAATTAAAATTCAATTTTCAAAACTACAGAATCATATCGCTGACAGAGGGACTCCGACTCAAGTTGAGAGTTAGAGAGGCCAAGGGCAAAATAACAACCCATAATAAAAGATTTTGTAAACAATTATGGGAATGCCGTCATCAGAGGCCCTGTGACAAGCTTTGATATAGACCAAATGTATGAGCATTTCACAGCTATAAGTATATCCCAAAAAAGGCAATAAGTTTTGGTATTGGTCGGTTCTCTTGCCTTGTACCTTTGCGACACTGGTTCCAGCCTACATGTCAATCGTATTCTAGGCTAGCGTATTGCCTACGGCTTTGTCACACTTGCAAAAGATGTTAAACAATCATCCCAGTAGAGGCCCAGTATAATGTCAACAAACAAGTTACAAAATAACAGTTGCCACAGTTGTGACTTTCTTCAAAACATCGGTATTAAAAACAAATTTCTAGAAGAATTCAAATTTCCTGGCGATAGCTAATTTGATGAAAATGTTCACTTCTATTTTCATACTTGGTACCTCTGGCTCAAATTACTAAAAAATACCTGGTGTGATTACTGAAGATTTCATCGTTGTCATTGTTGATTCTATGAAAAGGATATTGCAGAGTGATAGCGTCTTCAGCTTGGATAAAGGCAAAGCTTGGCGAGAAAATGCTAATCAAAAGATTTTCGGAAAATATACCATAGAATCCAATCCATCATACCTGATTTTATTTGAATAGATTTAAAGCTATAGTTCTATGCAAGCGAACGTAAAAGCAGGATAACATAAAATCTTGGATAAGACTTTTGAGTTAATTCAATGTTGTCGTGAATCGTATGGCACTGTAGCTTTAAAGAGAAATACTCGAAAAACTTACATTTTGAAATGAGTACTTGACATGCTGACATGCTAATAACTGTACATGAAATAGTTGATGGAAAATGACTTCAAAGTTAAGTGCTGCTGAGGATTTTGTTTTTTGTTTTAGAGAGAAATATCCGAGTCACGGCACCAAAACAATCATTTTTGCATGCATAGCTCGCATTTGAAACTCTGGATTACTCATAGTTTGCTCTTGTCATCTCACAACAGTATTTTCTAAATATAAAGACTAATGTTAAGTTTACAATTACAAAAAATATCAATATATTCCAAATAATTGCATCACTTTCAAGCAGCACTCATAATAGGACAGATTCACAAAAGTAAATAAAAGCTAGTTGGGTCATAGTTCGAGTGGCTGAACTTGACCAACTCGGTATCAGTTAGAAAGGTTGTTCTCTGTAGACATTAACCAAATTTGCATCAAAATGTGTGTAATCACCTGTGGCTTTCAAACTTTTAAACGCTTCTTACGTCCTTGTCAATTGTTCAATTCAGATCAGACATGCTATTCTGACTGCGAGACTTTTCTTTCAAATTGATATAAAATTTTAAGAGGAACAAACTCTTGAAAATCATAGCTCATTTTAGTGGCGAGTAGATTGTAAAATTTCAAACCTGCTGTTGTTTTATTTTCAGTCAATGTAGAGTGAAATGGAGTGATTGTTTGTATGGTGACTGTCGTAGCTTGCGTTGTTGCAGCTTGCATTATCATAGCTTGTGTTGTCGAAGTTTGTTTTGGTGTAGTCGTACCTTGCGTTGTCGTTGCTTGCATTGTCGAATTTCGGGTTTGGGTTGCCGTAGTTTGTTGTGTTGTTAAGAGGGCTTGCATGGACGTTGGCTCTTGTGTTGTTGATTCTCCTTGTGCTATTGTGGTTGCAATATCGATTCTTTGCCTTGTCCTTTTCCACTGTGTTGTTGCGGTTTTCTGAGAAAGTGTATGTGGTTGAGTTGTTGTAGATGTAGTTGTTGCAAGTTGGGTTTTTGATTTTCGTTTTTCTGTCGGTGATTTATTGACACTTGTGGTTGTTAATCCCTGATTTGTTGTTGGCCATGCAGTCGATGTTGGTGATCTGCTTGTTGTCGTTGTCTTGTGTTCTGCTGTTTCCTCCCTTGCTGTTGGTAGCCTTGTCGTTGGCGATGATAGTGTCGTTCCTGAAACTGATATCTTTTTCGTTGTTACCAATTCCAGTATTCAATCTGTTTCATTAACGATTGTTTCTGCACTCTCCTTTTCAAATTTAATTTTTAATATCTTGCATGCTATTTCAAAGAGTGAGGGATCTCATCTTACATTCACGAAAATCATTAACATTTATTTTTTCTTTGATCAAAGAAAGAAGCAACCTGTACTTGCGAAGTTAGTTGATTCACAAAACAAGAAAAACCTTCGAAAGCTTTAATAGGAAAATGAAGTGAAAAATGAAAACCAGCTGACAAGCAGTTTTTATCGTGCTTATTTTGAATATCGTGCGATTTATGTGCTTTAAACCGGTCAGCATTTCGCAAATTTTGAAGCTTCTTTATTTCTGGATTTTTCATCCTTGGTGCTGGTGCCCTAGTTACTTAAATTCTTTTATGTGGAACATGTCTCTCTATAACTCCGAGAAAGAGGTTATTGGAAAATTCAGTATTTTATTTGGATCCGAAACCGCTTGTAACAAGCTAAATTGTATTTTATTAACATTTTCAATAAAGATTGTCGTGTCCAATGATCTCTCGTCTCTTATCATTTTAAACCTTGGCTCGTAGCGAGGCTTACGGAGGTTGAGAAATGTTTATGGCCCATCATGGTCACTAATACTGCTACCTGGTAAAACATTGGTAAATTTTACTCGAATAGGGTGGCTGACGATGATATGATCAATCAGCGAGGCCTTTTTTCGTGCTTCTTGTTGACTTATCCACTATTTGCTTAAGGTTGAATTATTTCAATGTATGTTTCACTGTTCGAATTTGAGGGACCAAATATGTCGATATCTACGTCACCTGTCAAGTATATAGGGTCCTCCCATGTAGCCCAATGTCTCTTCAAATCTACTCAACCAGTCTTTGATTGAAAGAATTCTTCTAATCGGTGGATTTTACCCACCAAAAAGCGGCTATTTTTATTATGATCCGGTATTTCCATCCAGACGTGCTCAAGATCTTGAGATTTTTCTTCAATGTCCTTTCGTTTCTTTTTCTTAAAGGTTTGTTCCATGTAAAATCCTACACCACCACCTCGCATCACTTCCCTGTTGTTGTATAGAAGGTAGTACCCGGGGATGTTTGCGTAATCCAAAAGGAGTCATTTACTTTAATCCATGTTTCCGAAACAGCAACAACATCAAACTGATATCAGTGCAGTTTCAAGTTAAGTTCGCTGACGTTAGCGACAAGAGACTGTGTGTTGGGGTACATAATTTTAAGGAATTTTGGTTTATTTTCAAATGCGGCTAAATGGCAGTCAACAAGGGTTTCATCTAAGGAATCAGGACCAGAAGTAGTAAGGCTACTATCATCACAAACAAGGTCTCCAGGATAATTGAAGAAAAGCTAGGTCCTATGCAGACAGTTTCCACAGGTGTGAAATTTCTGGTGGGATGCAGCTTTTGTGATAGAATTCAGTTTCAAACAGGCTGCATGTGTTGCTATTTAATGTCATTGTTGCTAGTTACTTATATTGAAAGCTGGCAAAATAGGAACTACGGTATCTGGAACTTGTCTAACAGCTCCATAAAGAGAATCGTTAGTCGAAGTTCAATCAAGGAAAGTGGACACGTAATCGCTTGAACGATATTTCTTTTCGCAACAATCGTAGAATCGTGAAATAAGTTACCAGAAGATATTGTCAACAGTTCAACAGTACTGAATTTTGAAAAATTTTTGATAGCTTCCATTACGAATGCAAATACGTCTCTTAGGATTTATAGGTGGCGAGATTCTTACTCCCTTAATTCATATATATTAAATTGTATATTAATATTATATAAGATAAAACACCATAAGTATATTTCGGGAATTTCTACATTTTAATGATACTATTTAAAGACTATGTTTCAATCGATAGAAATATTTAATTAGGTAGACTTTTGATACTGATAGTTTTTAAGATATAGGGCAGTTGAAAATAATTTGGTAAGCCAGCCAGGGTCACTCATGTTTGTGACGTTATTAGCCCCGTATTTACGTTTTGTTGGGCATGCGCCCGTTTCGTTATGTTATGTTCTAGGCGTGAGAATATGAGAAAATGGAGTATTGAAGTTCGAATTGGGGTGTTCTTTCGTTGTTATCTACCGGATAATCTTATAATTTCTGAATTCAGAAAAGTGTATGTTTCTCTCTAAAAATCAGAAATTTTAGAAATTGTAGAAAGGAAACGGATTATTTTACAATTGTAAAAGCAATAAAAACATACCAATGTTTGATGCCATTAATTTGTTGTAAAAATCATCCGTTGTTTTGGTGTGCCTGGAGATTCTCCATTCGTTAAGTATGGTAACGACAAATGAAAAGCTGAAAAATATTAGAACTGAACAGACAAACAAAATCTTGTACTTGATATACTTCATCGTTTTTGCTCTAAATCACCGAGAATTTGCTTTTGTTTTCTAAGCCGTCTTTTTATGCCTAATGAAGGTGTGTTGGAAGTTATAATAACAGCTCTTCTTTAAATATGCTTGACTGATGCTAACTGGAACTGGTATTGACTTTTCTATTGATACAAGTTTTCATAGAAATGAGAAAGCAGCTGGTGTATGGAGGACATCAAAGAAAGAGACAATACAGCATTTTACTGGGAAGGTTTTCTTTTGGACTGCAGGTAACACTAGGGCACTCCTGAAGCAATTTTTGTATCTTTTAGTTGGGTCAGACTCTCTATTGCTATTTTAAAATGGCTTTGAGAAAAGCAAACATTTCGCAACATACCACTTTTTTTCGTCTGACACGGTCGTTATTTCATCTAGCAGTTTTGGAATCGATCTACATTCAAAAGAAAAAGCCGACATTGTGTAGACAGAAGGAGTTTTCTTTCTTGGACTCCAGTGGTATTTTTCTATAGGCACGCAGCACTAATTGGACAACTATGCCGGTCATGTGCTTGCGTTGTTCTGATTGGCCCATTTCGATCCGCATTCCATCTTGTTCTTTCTTGTATATATTTTCCATCTTGTTCTTTCGGAACCTTTTTCTGACGTTGTTTACTCTGAGTAGTGTCAGACGAAGACACTTTCAGTAGTATGTCGTGAAATGTTTGATTATTTCAAAGCCATTTTCAAATTCTAAACCGCTAAAAAAAGTTCATATTGCTCTTTCTTTAAAGCAGCGGAGCTGCGTATAGTCGACGTTTCAATGTGCATGAAGGAAATGTCCACACAAAATTCTTGTTTTATACTTTCTTTAGCCTACTACGTGTTGGGTGTCGATACTGGTTGATACAAAGAATATCCACACAAAAAACAAGTGATTCCCCTGCAAAAATAGCATGAAAATTCAAAGAAAACATCAAGCATTCCAGTCTAAAACCAAATTCCCTCGATCACTTTGGCTAGGCACCATGGGTCGTCACCAGACAACATAACTGGCAGACAGCGGCATCGTGTCGAGGAGCCTGATAACTGGGTGCAGACCATGGTGGAGGGGTAGAATATCCAAAAAAATAATCTTATTTATCCTAAATAAGGTTCAGTGTCCTTCACAGTAACCCATAGAGAACACTTAATTCATTTGCTCGTGGACTCGAATTTTTATTCTTCCTTTTCTCTAGAAAAATACTGCATTACAAAGGAATAAACAAATGTGCCTCGCACTTCCGTTTTGGTTTCGTTCTAAGATGTCTCTAGAAACCTCAGTTGATTGTTCTAGGTTTTCATAACGTAGCTTAAATTGTCACTCTTTGTGCTTATAAAAAATATACTGTTTGTTATTGTAAGAAGGTAAAGCATTCTGTTTTCCTTGGTTTCACTTCCATTGCCATATTTCTTATTTTGCTCAGAAATATTTCCTGCAATCGTTATAGCATTTTTGCTTAGAATTGGAATATAAACATATTTTGATAATTTTATACGCGTTTAATTTTGCGCGTCGTGTACACTGTTGGAAGTACTTTTCTCACACATCACCAACATACACCTAACTCTAAAACTTCAATTCAAATTTATTCAATTTAATTTTAACTTTTTCATTCTGTTTTTCCTTTACTTTATAGGAGCTGGGTCACAGCACTGCGCAGGTAGCCAAAAATATAACAAAACTGTGCCCATAGGTTGTTTGCTATGACTGGACATGCCTTGACCTGGAGATTATTCAAAATACATCTTTTTTCATTACAAGCTTAAAAGTTAAAAAAAATTAATGCAAATGAAAATGGGAAATACAAAAGAAACAAAACATTGAAATAAAATAGAGACATGACATTTTCTATGTTATGAAATGCTTCAATAGATTCTGCAACGCAAGGGCATAGGAAAAAAGTTGCAACAAAATAGGACGATAAGAAGGTTGATACACGCTATTGTTTTCAAAATTGATACTAAATGCTTTGTCCGTTTAACTTGCTGCCAATACCAAAAGCACACTTTCAAGAAAGGTCAAGCCCTGCGTCGGAAAGTTCCAGGCGCCACCACTGATTTAATTGCAATGCAGCTCTTTTGCAAAGTTTTGAGATAAAAGAGTCAAAATCTAATACGTCATCAAGCTTGTTGCCCGGTAACTTTACATTTCAGAGAGAATAAAGTACCGACATGTGACGTCATTTTCAGAATTTCCAAATTATTACATAAAGTAAAGTAATGAACCAAGACCAAATTACAGAGGTTTGATGGGGAAAAAGCCTGTGCTTGTATGGCCATGTCTCAGCTAATTTTAACACATTCAATAGATTTGGCACATTTTGAGATATTTCATAGCGCTCTTTTGGATTTATGGTCAAAATTGAAAAGTTATAAAAATTGATAGGTGGCGTCATTACTTCGTTACTCTTTATCGTAGCGACAAATGAAGAACTTAATGACCCAAGTATCTTTTTTATTTTTGGAAACAACTATGACATGGAATTATTTTTCGCAACTATTGAATTACTCTTGTACCATTGAACAGTGACTTCTGATTCTCACTCGAAACTTGTAACAAATTCATCTAGATTGTTAGAGAGATAAGAGTAACAAGGTATTAATGATAAGACAAGGTATGGGTATTAACATAATTATGCAATGTTGCCTTCTTAAAAAAGAAATAGTCGTGTATGTACACGTTCTGAGTCACGTCCATTGGGCATTGATAATTAAAAGGCGCTGCTATTATTTTAAGAGATTGCTCTCAGTGTCACTGATTTAGATAAGAGGAAAAAACACAAATGGTTTTTCACTAAACCCATAAGCAAACAGTTTAGTTAGAGTAGATCTTCATCATGTGTAGCTGTTTCAAACCTCGCGTTTTTCGTGGCTTCACTCTAGTCTGTAGACAGAGAAAGAGTTTGCTGAGCCTAGGCCGTGGACACAGTCAGTTGCAACTCCGTCTTTGTTGTAAGTCATGTGTGCATCCGGGCCTGACCAGCATTCACCTTTATTCTTTAGTCCAAACAAGCTGTAGCCACGTTCCCAAACCAACTTGTAACAATCGCTTGCAACACGCGTACCGTCTGATTCGCTTGAAGCTCCTGATCTAAAAAAAATTTAAATTAAAGAAATTATAAAAATTATAGAAAAGGCTTTCCTTAAAACGTGTCCTGAACAATACCTCAAAATGATATCAAATATTTTGAAGGAAAATGTTTTTGTCAACGAGGGTCACTTTGCATTAAAATATCCTTAAAGGCTTTTGCACAACCAGCATGCTTAGCGGCAGCTGTCTTGAGAAATTGATTGATTTTGTATTTATATGCAGTACGATATTAGGCCGGTCTTGAAAATATAGTCGCAAAGCATGTCGGTTGCGTAAGAGCCTTTAAACACCTATAGATTGCGAAACTATAAATAACTTTGCATCAATTCAATTGGCCCATTTATCTGCTTTAAATCTCCTTCAATTTACGCGCGTCAGCAAACTCAGCGATCGCTTCGCGTGGCCGCCAGCGAACAGCTGGCTGTTGGATCTCCATTCTTTCCCCATATCGCTAGCGCCTCGCAGGAATCAATTGTTTCCCTTTTCATTTCTGGCGCATTCAGGTGCACTTAATCTACAACATACCTGGCAGATTGACAGTGTTTTGCATTTACTTTAGCTTTTAGACAAGAAGAAAGTAGTAAATATAGAGTCCAGAAGTCCAGAAGTTATTTTGTGAACATTGTAACAGAAAGACAAATTTCATCACCTTATTTTTGGAGATGAAACTTTGCGATCATGAGTTACTTTTTCGATATTTTCGCCTATCATTTAAAATACGAGATCCATCATTTCCATCTTTTGACATTTGTTCTATGCTGCCCATAGATCGGCCTTGATCTCCCTGAGACAACAACTGTTCAGAGCTTGCCATCTTGCAATCTGCATAAATTACGTAACTTTTCGCTGGCGATCGCTGAAAAGTTCAACCAAATTTGAACTACTGAGCGAAACGCAGCGACCAGCGCGTAAGAGTAAAATAATTACGTCCGCATGCTCTCTGTTCGCTGGTCGCTGGCTTTCTCTTAGCTTCGCTTGAAAATGTGAATAGTTTTTTGGCGGTACAGAACTTGAAAATGTCTAAAAGCTTATTCGTTTGAGACACCTCAGAGGATAAAACGCCAGAATAAGGGTTCGAAAGAACACGACGAAAAATATATACCCAGTTGGGGATCGAAATAGGCCAATCAGAAAAACGCAAGCACAAGACCGGTATAGTTGTCCAATCAGTGCTGCGTGCCTAAAGAAGAATCACCTTTGGAGTCCAAGAGAGAAAACGAACTCCTTCTGTCTACACAATGGCGGCTTTTTCGTTTGTATGTAGATCGACTCAGAAACTGCTGGATGGAAAGACGACCGGGTTCTGCCAATTATTCGAAACATGTCGAGTTTTGCACAATCTGGGTTGTCTAAAAGATGTTGGCCGATGGCAGAATCACTTGTTTTAACAGTGTTCCTAGACCTACAAAATCAAGGAGGTTGTTCTCTTTGAGGGGCAGTTTTGTTTCTTATGTTGGTAGGAACATGTTAGTAAAATGACACATTATTTCCTGATTTTGACAGCACCAATTTGACATAGATTTGAAATTGGAGCCAAGTTCTCTAAATTTGAACTCACAAGCTATCATGAAAAGTTACAGAAAATGCTATGAGAACTTCGCAACAAAATGACAGATGAATCATGAACATTTCTCTACTTACATTGTGAAATTGCCAATCAGATGTTTTATTGGTAGTGATGCTCCATCAGCATAACACCCAACAGAGACAACTTTTTTCTGCGGTGGTCTTTCTATAAAACATAGCAAAAAGTACAAATATTATGTATCGAGTGATTTAGTGTGAAAAATTGGTCTCAAATACCTATCTTTTTAGCTTTTCAGTCTCTTAAGAAATAGCTTCTGCAATATTTTTTCCAAATGAACCTGAAGATGTACACGATAAGCACAAGATTTCGCTATTGAATTGAATTGATAGACCCTGAATCAGTCTAGCATCGGTAAAGCGAGACAGTGCCTTCAAAGAGGCTCATGGAGTTTTTCAAGAGGTGCTTTTGCAATCTATATGAACAATTCTTAACTTTACACAGGGAGGAACGTAATTTTTCTGATAGCAATTATTACCCAGTAAAATGACTTGGTTGACAAGGCTTGATTTGCCAAGTTGAAGATTGGTTGACAAGGCTTGAATTGCCAAGTTAAAGATTTATTGGTAAAATAATGAAGATACCTGAAGGTCCAAAATGGTAGACATAAACAGAATTTTCGGCTCCAGTTTTCTTATAACAACTGTCGAATGTTCCTCTGCTGTAATAACTAAATGAAACATTCTCAGTTTCAGCCCAGCATTCACCATAGAATTTGATGGCAAAGAACTTTAATAGCTGTCCATAACGCCGGATGGTCTCTGGCTTCTTAATGAAATCAGCACAGGCGACTATTGTTTTTGTCATATTAGACCTAACATAAAAGCACGCATTTATAACGCATGCATTTGATTTCAACCAATTTTTTGCAGCATTTGAACTTGGAATTTAAAGAAATACTTTAGCTTGAAGGATGCAGTTGATACTGCAAGAAAGCTTTGAAAAGCTCAAGGACGAGTTGAAATATATCTTTACTGTTGTTTTTTTTGCATTAGAATTAAACAGGTATTCAAGAGTAAATTGTTTGCAATGTATACTTACAACTGCTCCTAGAAATGTGTATTTTACAGAATATTTTGCAGATTTTGAAAAACTTAAGCATTATAATTTTTAAAACTCACCAGTCAATATAGTTTCTTAGATTAACCACGAGATGATTAAAATCTGACAATTCAGGAAGTGAAAAGTAGCAGCCAAGGCCGTAGAATTTCATATTCCATGGCTCTAGAATAGATCATTATAATGTGCAATCATAACAATTCAAGTCTAATTTGTTTTCAGTAAATACAACCAAAACCTGAACGAATAATATTCGTCAAATTAAGTGCCAATTTGGTCATATGAGCGTATACAATGCCAGTTTCATAAAATTTATGAACTTTAAACACAGAAGAAAACGAAAGCTTTTTAAAGGTTCAACTCCAGAAACTTCCAAATAGCCATGGCTATTGAGAATTCTAATGACTGTTTTGTGGAATCTAAATCACAAACAAACATTTTAAGCTCTTTTTTGCATTTTTGATCCATTAGGATAAGCAAAAAAAAGCGTATCTGATTCCTTTTCTCGATTCCTTTTCTTCTTCCCATTAAGTGTACCTAGAGTAGGTATACTTGATATTTGTCTGCAGCCGTCTCTTTTAAATTGTAGCAGTCAGGCTAAAAAAATAGACATTTAGACGACATGGTGGGCCTCTATTGGTATGCATCATCTGCAAAAGAGACTGGCTAGGTTTTCAAATATTAGCGGAGGATACTTCTGTTATTGCAGCTGAGGAGCAGCCTCTTTAGCAATACTGTAATGGAAAGTAAGATCGTTCCATTTTCTTTGATGAATTGAAAATGTCAGTCCGAAATGAAATGAGTGTTTGAAACAATTAAAGGTTTCAGATAAGAGATTTGTTTGATAGGCATGGTAGATTTATAGAATCCCACCATGTTGTTTAAATAACGCCTTAAGAGTAAAACATATTAAGCATGGACTTGTTAGCGAAAAGCTCAAGGTGAACTTAAATTGGATAACAAACGTTGAGGAGTAGATGTAAATGCCACTGTTGTTGTTGCTGCAGGTTCTGTTGTTGTTTCTACTGCTGTAGTTGTTGGTGGTTTTGTAGTAGTTACTGTTGTTGCTGTTGTTGTTGGTGGTTTTGTTGTAACTTCTTTTGTTACTGTTGTTGTTGATGATTTTCTTGTAGCTGCTGTTGTTACTGTTGATGTCTGTGATTTTGTTGTAGCTGCTGTTGTTACTGTTGATGTCTGTGATTTTGTTGTAGCTGCTGTTGTTACTGTTGATGTCTGTGATTTTGTTGTAGCTGCTGTTGTTACTGTTGATGTCTGTGATTTTGTTGTAGCTGCTGTTGTTGTTTGTGATTTTGTTGTAGTTGCTGTTGACACTGTTGTTGTTTGTGATTTTGTTGTAGCTTCTGTTGTTGTTGGTGATTTTGTTGTAGTTTCGGTTGTTGCTGTTGTTGTTGGTGGTTGTGTTGTAGCTGCTGCTGATGCTGTTGTTGATGGTGATTTTGTTGCTGTTACTGCTGTTGTTGTTTGCCAATTTGTTGTTGATACTTCTTCTTTTGTTGTCATAGCTACTGCTGTGGCGGTGCCTTGCTTCATCACCTCACCTTTAGTGGTACTCGCTGCCATAATAAAAATGCAGTTTAAGAACACAATGGCCATGAAAGATTACCTTGATCGCACATAACACGGTTAATTTAAAGTGAACTTTCATAACAAAGTATTTATATACGTACCTTTCTTTGTTATATATGTGTATATTTTTTCACTAGCATGGCGTTTGTGAAAATTAGGCCCAGAATTTTGCCCTATCGTTTGAATACTTTTGGAACAGGAGTGTATCTCACAAATGGATGTTTATGAATTAATGCAAAAGAAAAAACTTTAGCAAAAATTTTTTTATCGGCCTCAAGTAAACATTCAGTCAGTTCAAATAAATTTGAGCATTCAATCACGTCTAATAAATGAGACAAGGCTCGCCTTATGGTACCCTTGGTGTTTTGTCCCAAAAGCATTTCTTGTGCGCAATGTAACAATGCCTCGAGTCCAGTTGGCATGCCATTCCATTTCATTACCGCCAGCGTTTTTTACATTTTATTTACGTTTTTTACATGTTAATATAGTACAGTTTCATTAATATTCACAAACTTAACACTTTAAGCTAAATGAAGTTAAAAAGCAACACATTTAAATAGGTTATCGAGTAATAACATCAATATTTTATCTTGATGACATGTTACAACCAAAAATAAAAAAATATGGTGCTGCCCTACTGAGGGGCCGTGCTTCAGTTTCTTGGCAAGTTCTGAGACCTCTCTTGAACAGGGGTGGCGCTAGAGACAAACCTTCAAGGTGCCGACGTTTATATTCTCCGTAACTGCCGCCGCTGGATGTATCAAATTGCCGACAGAAAAAAATTCGATGAGCCCCATATAGAAGGCAGGGCCGTCGCGAGGCAAGCCTCGTTGGGGCGGGGGGGGGGGGGTTTGGGATTTGGACTACAAATTTGCCTGATTAAAAAATTTTTGCCTGCAATTTTTTAGCTGCTGTCACAAACCTCTGCAATACATTTTGTCCAACTCTGTATGATAATAACGGACTTTCCTAATAGTCAAATCTCCATATCAGGACGGGCAAAAGATATAGTTGCTACCTGAGGCGGCACCATGGTTGCCGCCGAAGGGGAAGGAAATTCTCGAATTTTGATGCTTCCAGTTCCCTGGAAAATGCACTCTTTTAAGCAAATTTCACTAAAGCAATCCTCCTAATCCTATTGAAAATATTTTTGCAAATTATTGTTTTTTTGCAAAACTTTTTTACAGCAGATAAAAACAACAATTTCGCCGTGGTCTTGAATAAAACCAGGTTGTCAGTTACTTCTAAATTTAGAGCCCTCTCTCCATCTTAGCATGCCTTATGAATGTTAAGAAAAATCTGGAGCTCATAGTGAGTTGCAGTTGACGCTTCTACTGAGAAACTTTTGGAGAAATGGACACAAGGCATAATTTTACCTAAAAAGGGTCTGGAATTTTAGATTTATTGCCAACAAGCAACCGTAAATTCTTCAAATCATGTTTACCTTCATTCATATAAATGAAAATCATATTTAACCAACAGAGAAACTGCCTTTGCTTGATCCTTTATTGATTATATGACTGGAAGGTCTCTGGAATACCTAAAGCGTTTCTTCCACCGAGCGGATTTTACCTGAAATTTCCTATTGAGATATAAGTGACACCAAGCATCTCTGCACGTTTCGCATGAATTCCAAGCAGCAACAGGGATTTCAACCGAGAGGAGCACCATGGTATCGTGGGTCATGCGAAGGAGCACCATGAAACAATGTTACAGCTTTCACGGAAGCGACAGGATATAATGCCACTATGATAGTAAAATTGCCGAAGAAAAGCCATTGAGAAAACCATAAACCAGCCAGTGCAGTTTTCTCGTCGATTATTTATGTCATTCAAGCGATATGTAAACAGGGTGACATCCATCAAGTGCCGACGGTATTGAGAAAGCAAAAATTGATTGGCTGCCGACGGGAGGATGGGCTAACTAAAATCTTAAGCCCCCCCTTGCCACCCCCATGCCGCCACTCCTGCTCTTGAATGGTACGATAAAACAGTATATTGCACCGGATAATTATTCAAATTTTCTACGGCAAAGGAGTATAGATTAGCTAGAGTACGGTAGAGAAGTCTCGTTTGGTACCTTCTAGCTATACTTTCGTGATATGAAGATCATTATGGTTTCTAGTATTTGCATAGACATTGTGGGTCTTATAGTGACTCTAGTACTAAGATTCAAGTGGACTGTTTAATTAGGTATGTGTTTTAAGTTCTCAGTTTTGAGTAGCGTAAAGCTACTATGTTGCGTTCTAGGTTGAAAAATAGATGTAATAAAAACTGCACTGTTGAAAATTGGGAAGCGTTATGTCGACAGCGTAATTTGTGTGTCACGTTATTTAGAACGGAAACAAGAAATTTCCATAAAACTTGAATACTTCTGATATTACTGACAACAAGAAATTTTGGAAAATTGTTATTCTTCACGATAAAAGTCGATCGAATTCAAGAACTACCCTTTTCGATAATAATAAAATAATTTCCAATGATAAGGAAGTTGCAGAACCAATGAATGGCAGTAGCAACAAGTTTGCACAAAGTTAGTTAGAACTTTTTAGCTAGTGTACAGTGTTTGAGTAGGTCCCATTTTGGTTTACCCAGAGAAGATAAAACAGTTAGAAGTAGATTGGACTTAGGGTAATGGAACAGGGTAATGACCTACAAATCCTCCATGGGCTATACCCCCTTCCTTTACTCTATTCTTTTGATTCAAATGAATTCAAGGTTACAAACCACAAAGTACCACAAACGGTGAAGTTGTAAGTTTCTTACACGGTCATGAATCTGCTGATTCTTAAAGGACAAGTGACACGCTTTTGGCGCCAAATTTGTTTCTTCTTTTAACTCAAAGTAAAATGCTGTATGAGCGTGGCGCTGAAATATTTTTTCTTTCTGATTTCATTTTCCTACTTAAAAACCCTTTTCAAATTATGGCAGGAAATGAATCACGTGACACCGTGACGTAGATTGTGATAATTTGTTATTGCTGCTACTGGTATACAATGCAATATGAACGTTTACAACACGCTTCTAAACGAATTCAGTTCGTCTGGACCTGTTGCGTCGTGTTTCGTAAACTCTCTATTAATGACAGGAAAATTCCGAGTTATCACAATGTACGTCATAGGGTCACGTGATAAAAAGCAAAAACGCGCCCCCTGCGCCCCTTGATAAGATTTTTTTGTTCTAAACCAGGAAAAACTCACTTCTAAATGATGATCTTTAAGATAATGAAAAGAAAAGATAGGGTGAAAAGTGTGTCACTTGTCCTTTAACTAATAAGTCTTCTTATCCTTATTGAACAAAAGCATTCAACAACCGCAAGAAAGCAAGCAGTCGGGAAATTCTTCACAAATGAATCATAGAAAACCCTCTTTTGAATCTTTACATCAGAATAATGTTCAAAAATCCTTTATTCGAGTCAGGTTTATCCTTTGTCAAATGCCAATATCGTTTTCATCAAGTTTTTCATCATTTTTGAAAGAGTTACAATTTATATGGGCGAATGAGGAACAAATGATAAAAATCAAGAAAGCAATGTTACTTTGTAGAAGGTTAAGTATGAGTAAACCTGCATACTTCGTAAGCTTGCATCTTCAATATCATTGTCGTTGGTCCTTTTCGTGATTTTCCACTCGTTGACAATCATGACTACAAATATCAAACTGAAATACAAAGACATCAGCCCTGCACATAGGATCATGTGCTTAAGTTTCACAAGTTTACTTTTTCCTATACAAGACATCTTGTATGAAGTAAACGTCTGTCAGTATATTATAGCAATGTCCTTGTTAGATCTTTTTCTCCTTATCGTCCCCTATAAGATAAACTACGCAACAAAGAAACGCAGCTTCTGTTGGCCGACACGAGATGTTGAACATTTGTTTAGGGAATAATTTCAAACCCTGACCGTTGTTCCTTGGCGCACTCAATCAAAATTACAATGTCATTCCTTGCTATAAGATCTTGTTGATGTTAATTATTCCAGCACCCAGACGTCATTTTGTGTTACTTTTCTAGTAGACACTTTCCTTGTTCTGTAAAAATGTATTGTTTACCTGTGACACATTATCCAAATAGGTAAAACATGATCTATTGCAGACCTTGCTTCTTCGCCAGTTTTAATGACCAACCTCATTTCAAACAGTAAAATTGATGAATTTTGATTGGAATAGTGCAATAGCGCAAGCCTCGAAAAGCCTAACATCACTGAAAGTAAAGCGGATCCAGATATTCGTAACATTGGCGAATGTCAGATTTCCACATGCCTTTTGTGTTTGTCTGTTAATATATTTTAGCATTGTGAATGTTGTACTAGAAGTGACCAGATTATAAATATTTCCATGTCATAGTCAGGTGGGATATTAGAAATAAAAGTTTTGACATAGTATTCAGGGTCACTTAAATGCCATGCAGTCCCTCAAAGCCGTCTCAGTAGACATCAGACAGTAGATTGTTTGAGCTGTCTCGTTAAAAAGTGATATCTGATTTTGAAAATGCTTCCCTGCTGGAATGCCTGTAGCCGTGGATGCATGCCAATTTTCATTACAGTCGAACCTCCATCAATGGACACCTCTATACAACGGACACCTCCAAACAACGGACAGATAGTTGAGTCCCAAAATTTCACATTGTCATTTCTTTTTAAAAGGAACCTCTTTACAGCGGACACCTCTCTACAACGGACAACGGACAGCCTTATCTGCCCAAAAAAAACATTTTCATAAACAAAAACCTCTTTATAGCGGACAATAGCTGTTTCATTTTAAATAACATGATCAATTTTGAAAAAACATTACTTTAAATTTAATTGTCTGAGGGGTGTTTTCTCTTTCTTCGACTTCCAGTGTGGCAGAACATGTTCTTTAATGTTTCCTCTTCATGTTCCAATTTCTATTTTAACCATTCAATTGATGTTTCGTCTCCATAAAATTTATATTTGCATGGAATTTGACTCCAAACCCAGCACTTCGATTAAAGTTTTTTCCAGTCACTTCAGCCATAGCTTATTGGTGGTCTTCATTAAAAACCTTGAAACCTATTTGCAAAAGTAAATAGGCAGATGACCATGAACACCTTTGTTTTTTGATGTAGTTAAAGCCACTGCATTGGCATCGTTTTCATTTGCTGGCGCTCTGTAGCAAAGCAAGGCTTCTCCGATAACAGGTCTCCAAACATTGGAGTAGGCATGTTAGCATCTAATAAATGAATTAAACTCAAAATATGCAAGATTTTCAACAACTGCTTGCAATGCCATTTTGAAATGAAAGACCTTTCTGAGAATGAAGTTTGTTTTCTTAACGTGACCTAATGCCTTGAATGAAGTTGAATGGAACACTGTAATAAGGACTTTACTGAACACAGCTGCTCTAAATATGAAGACAATTTTACTCATAGACCTTGATAACCCAAAGAAGTCTTAAATACTAGAAATAGCTCTTGCTAGTACTGCCCGCAAACAATTAGTTCCTTGATAATGATTGTTTTGAAAATTTAGGTCAGGATATTCGAAGAAGACACCATCTTGGGTTTTCACAATTTTATAAAAACAGCTGCTCTAGTTGATGCTAAACTATTCTCTTTATATCAAGAATTTTAGGTGTTCAGTTTGCCTTTGATTTAAGTCCAACGCCCTTTTGAAAATCATGAAGTTTTTCGAGGGTTTGACATTTATTTTTCGTTTTCGTGAAGTAAACAAAGACGTATGAAAATGGACACGTGATAGAACGGGTACAGCTAAAATCGATTGCGATAAAGGATTCGTACAGCGATGTACAGGCGATAACCATGACAATCATAACTTTTGCTCGTACGGTCTCGAGTTTTTGGGAGAAAGGTGTGGCATTTGACTGGTTTTGATTCCCAAAACTTCGAATCAAAACTTCCATCCATTGCGGAGAACCGAGCTGTGATGCAGCACCGTTTGCGTTTTCGTGTCTTGGCAGAGCAACGCTCAGAAGATAATTCCCTTCCGCACAAAGAGGTGGCGGGAAACTCTCTACAAGAAACTCGAGTACTGAAGCCGTTGAATTTCGACAATTTTACTGTTACAGTATTTCTTCGCCATGGCTACACGCTTGGGTAAGAAGCGCAAGTTTTTATCTCTTGAAGAAAAAGTCTAACTAATAACGTTCACAAAGGAACATAGATCTTTCGGTATACGTCAAATCGCGAAAAAATTTGGAATAGGGAAAATTTTGATGCATATTGAAAATAGAAAGTGAGATTATAAAATCTTGGGAGTCCAACGAAAGTTCAGCAAACGCTAAGAAGAAAAGACCTGCAGAATTTGCTGATGTAAATAAAGCTGTTTTTGACTGGTTTTGTCGGGCAAGGGGATCAAACATTCCTATTAGCAGAACAATGATCCAAGAAGAAGCCAAAGCTATTGCAAACTGTTTAGGGTCAAATACGTCTAAGTCCTCCAAAATGGCTGGTTGGATAAATGGAAAGAACATTACAATTTTGCCCAGTTTTTTGTCTCTGGAGAAGAAGGTGACGTTATGGAAGATAATGCTATCTCTTAGGGTGAATGTTTAAGGGAAATTTTTATAGGTTATGAACTGAGAGATATTTGGAATTTAGATAAAACTGGATTCTTTTGGAAAGCTTTGCCTGAAAAGTCCTTGTCTCACAAATGGAAACGATGGAAAGGAGGCGAAAGAGAGATGCCTACCATCATCGGAAAGAGCAAAAATCCGAGATGCTTCCAAACTTTTTCAAACAAAACACGGCCACGTGGAGCGTTCTATTTCAACAACAAAAAAGCATTGATGAATTCGGAGCTCTTGGAAAGGATTTTGCATCGATTCAACAGAAAACTTGTGATAGAGCAAAGAAAGATTCCCCTTTTCATGGACAATGCACCATGTCATCCCCCCCTGAGCTAGAAGGAATGTTTTCAAACATAACTGTCAAATTCTTCCCAAAGAATACGACTTCACGTTTACAGCCCCTAGATGCTGGAATAATAAAGAACTTCAATGTATTACAGGCTATAAAATGGGCTGTAGATGCATGGGCAAACGTAAAACAAGGAACAATAAAAATCTGTTTTCGCTTATGCGACTTTTCAGTCAGCACTTTCCAGGTTTGACCCCATTGTGAAAGAGCCAAATATAAAAGGTTTTGGGCTGGCCATACCAGTAGTTGATGACCTGCAGGATTTCGCGATGACAAGGGATGACACTGGTTTGCTTGATGCAGTTGCTTCTGTCGCAGCAAAGTTAGAAAAACGAATTGGCAAACACGAGGCAAAAGACAACTATATCTTACTTCATGATTTAAATATTTTTTTACGAAAGGTTGCATTTCTTATAACGAAATGATCACTTCGATTATTGCATTCCACTTTCAAGGGACCACTGGACAGTTAAATAGATATAAAGTTTTTAGTAGTAAAGAGTTTTTTCTGCACAAAACATGCTCGGCAAAACATTTCACTCTGATTACACTGTAGTATCCGGAGCAAAAATGTTCCTTTCTTCCTCAGTGTTGTTATTTTCTTAACAAGACGCGCTCCTTCAAATATCTTGTATGTTCAGTGTTCAAAAAAGATGACACCTCCATACAGCGGACACCTCTCTACAACGGACAATAACATTGGTCCCACTGGTGTCCGTTATATGGAGGTTCCACTGTATTGTCCAGGCAGCAAGGCCGTCGCTAGAAAATTTTAATGGGAGGGGGAGGGGGTGCAAAACCAGTGGTTTGCCGACAAAATGGGCGTGGCAATAGATACGGGCGTGGTTCTCAAACGACTATAATTATCATTGATAAAACTCGCGAATGTTTTTCTCGAACTGCTATATTTCAGTTTTGCTCAGTGTCATAATTGCAGGGTGGCCAGCAAACCAAAAGGTCCCGGCTCAGGGTGTGGCAGATAAACTTTTTTGAGCCACACTAACTAATGCGAGAAAAGTCTAAAATATGCTCAGTCCAATCAATTATTGACGGTTGTGGTTCTCTATGTTAATCAAGGATTCTATGTATGGAGTTAAACTCTGCACAATAACAGCAAAACAATGGTTCTATTTGTAACTCTAAGAAACTCTAATAACAGTTCAAAACAACAATCCTAGTGTGACAATTTTTGCAACATTTTCAAGCGAACCTAATATATAAATATATATATATATAAATAGTATTCTGAAATTGAGCCAAGAAAATAATCAAAAATTCAACTTGAATGTTCTTTTCATTTGTCTAGGTTAGTATCTTGGCTATAATTTGAAATCTAGTGACCTACAAACTTATTCACACTAAAACATCATTGAGAGAACTTAAAACGATACAGATTCCTTAGTCGGTACCGTCGGATCTTTATTATTCTAAACACGTTGGTCATTTAACAATTAGCAAACATAAAAATTTCGTTATAGCTTTTAAGCATGCACCTTGCAGAGGGTTTCAGAGAAAAGGAAAACTTAAAGGGCAGCAGAGAAGGCCTTTAACTGTTGCTTACTACTTTCAAGGAAGAAACTTTCGCGGAAAGAAATTTTTTCACGGGAAGAAACTTTCCAGGGAAGGAACCTTTGCGTTTTTAGCGTTTATGGCCTAAAATCGCGGATGATTGATACGCAAAACTTCCTGAAATACTAAATTTTCGAAAGTTTATTTTTGTGAAATATCCAGAAAATTTTGCTGTTGATCCTCTGGAAAACTTTGACGAAGAATTATTATGTTGGACAAATTTTACATCTTTTTCGTTGTTTTGCTGGTATCATATGGAATAAAAAGAGAAGGAAACATCAATTGAATAAAAATGTTTTTCACGCAAAGTCCATGATTTTCGCTAAAACGCGAAAGTTTGTTTTTGCAAAGCTCCTATTTCGCTTCTTTTGCAAAGTTGATTCCAAAAATTTCCCAATTTGAGAAGCTTTCTTCCTGCGCAACTTTCTTCCCTTAAAGTGATATGACCCCAGGGAACGTTCGATCATGTGTGGAAGGTCATTATTAGCTAGAAACGTAACAATGGCGACTCTAGACAACTAACTAAAAACAACAGCTCCTTGATCTCTACATACAGTTTCAAATTATTTCTCTAGGAAGTAGGACAGATTTGTCTTTGTGCAAAATTTGAAATAGAATTTCTGTATAATGGATGTTGGTCATAGTGGGGCCCTTTGGCCTGCGCGCAGACTTCATTTTGATGCTTAGTTGTGAAGCCAGCACGGATGTTAGGGGCCTTGGCTGTGACAGTAGTTTCCAGTTTATGAAAATTATCTTCTCCACTCCAACTTTTGCAGAAAGGGCCCAAAATTTTCTTTACTTAACATGTCTGAGGGCCCGATGGGGATCGCCACTTTGCCACCCGGGCCAGACCGCGCCTGGCCTTTAGCACGAGAGAGTTTGAACGATCATCAATTATTCTCGTTAGGTTTTCACAAATTTCAACTGTGACTAGTGCTGTCATCAACAACCGATATTATCTATTTGAAAATGGCAAAATTCTCTGTCTTTCTTCTGAAAATTTGCCAGTTTCTAAGAGGTTGACGAAGATTTGCCGACACGGTTAGGGTCTGGGGGGGGGTGTCACACCACCCACACCCCCCGTAGCGCGCGCCCTGCCAGGCAGTCAAGGGCTGGTGAACTCGCAGGCCCACTTCCTAGATAGGATTTTATAAGGGCATTAACTGAAAGTCACAAGAACGTGTTTCAATTCAACAGACCACATGGATTATAAACTATCAAAACTGCTCGAACCTTCCAACGATGATTCTGATAAGCTTTAATCGCGAAACGATCATCAATTTGCGATTTGCATATTCAGGGAATTATCTTCAAAATTGAAGTTGTCTGAAACTCTAAAAACCATTATGGCTGTTTATGAAAAAGTATTGACTTTTATGAAACTCTGAAACTCTGACAGATTCTATTTACAGTTAATTTCTTTCTCGATCTAGTGCAGAGAATCATGAAAAAGAAATTAGAGAATCGTTTTCCACGTTGCTTTGCCAGATATAAGCTGTATTGTTCATTGCAAAAGTAGATCATCACTGACATGTAAAGTGTCGGGAATTTGTTCTAGTTCTCCGCAACAATAAACTCTTACAGGAAAGAACTCAGAGAATCAATCCGTTTGTGATTAATTCGCTATGATCAATTACTTCACTCTCGCTAGCTGAATACTCCTCTCTACTTGACTGCTTATATACTCTTGCTACAGAAAGTTCTAGCTACGAAATTGCTGAATAATCATGACAGATTTTACGTAATATTTCTAACTTCCTAAATATGCCCCTTAGAGAATGTTCTAGAAAATTGTGAACGAAATCGAGGCTAGGTTTTCATAGGAAGCATGACTAGGCCTAAATGACTAACTGGCTAACTACGATATTATGATAACAGCGGCTACAAATATAGGGATCGCATAATTATAACTAAGAAAGCATGCTGGCAGATAATTCGAGGTAACTATGTATTACGAAAGCAAAAGTCTAGAATGTTCTAAATACTACTAGGTTTGTCGGCGACAAAAGTTTATTGCACTATGTTCACACTACTCCATATTCATTTCGCTCCTGACGAAATTTCATTCCAGGGTTTTAGTCCCTCCTGACGAAAATTTGGGGGGCTTAGCCCCCCTGGGAAATAAGGAAGTTGGCTATCGGTTTGTTAGACTAATTTTTCATATTCTTGACTTCACGGATAAAAATCATCTCAAGAGATTTAATCAAGATCAAATAACAACGATAACGAAAAATGTAAAAGAAAATCGCCTTCGAATCCTCAGCTAGGCCTCTTTCTGCCCTGGGCTGTTGGCAGCCACCATTAGCAATTGCAATTAACTTTTGAGCTCCCCCCCTGGAAAAAATATAAGTAGGAACAGAGATCAAATTACAGAGGTTTGAGAGGGAAAAAGCCTGTGCTTATGTTCCTATATTTCAGCCAATCTTCAACACATTCTGTGGTATTCCTTGAAGATATTTTCAGTTATGGGCTCTAAATTCTAATATTCTAATAATAGATTTATGTACCGTCATCGCTTAAGTACCCCGTTGTGGAGACTAGGTTTTGAGACATCGATTACTCTCGAGTGCGGAATTGACGGGGCTCTAGAATGAACAGGACAGGAGGATAATTTCCTGGGATGCCGGAGAGAGGGACACGGAGGAGCAGCCGTCCTTCTTTCCCATTGATAGGAGGAGTAAGGGGTCCCAAAGTGCCCAAAAGTGCCCATGAAATTGGCCTTTTGTAATTATCAAAGAGACGTTATGAAATTCTCGCTGTTGTGCCTTATTTATCACGACATTTCATTGTAAAGCATTTCTTATGCCTGCAGTTCCTTGATACACAGGGCTTAACCACGGTAAGTAAGAGACTCAAATATTCAAGACTCGAAAATTTCCTTTTATTTTCATATTTTTCCCAAGAAGTTTCAAGAAGTGTTTTTTTGTCTCTGTAATGCGTAGGGCTAAGTGCAGAATGGAACATTGCAGTACTCCCAGCGTATATCAGGGTTCATCGTATAGCACCATGGTCCGGATGGCTCTCCATCTGCGTTCCTGCAGTAGTTGCTTTCGAGGTCACTATTTGGGAAGTCCTGTGGACTCACCGAGTGATAGTGCGGAACTTGTTGATCCCATCTTTGGCAATCTACCCCAGTGACTGTTTTAGAAAGTAATCCACGATACTCTCTTCCTTGAATGGTTTCTTTGCATTCTGTTAAGTGAAATGTTTATTTTTTTGTCAGAGATGTTGGGTCGTGTAAAATTTAAAATAGCAGTTTGAAGATTTGGAAATGTCACTGAAAAACCACGGCATAGCCATAACAGCGAGAATGTTCCGCATGCGTTTAACATGATGGGAAAATGTTACTATTGCTCTCTGTGCTATAAATATTAACCTTATGATGATTAGAAATGTAAGATCTACTACATGTCGCTGTTTTGGGTTTGCAACCCTGTATAACAGCTATTGGAACTCAGGATATTTTCACAAATCTAATACCGCCGCCTCCTCTCCCCTGTACAATTATGCATGTTAGATATAAATGAGCCTTTAATGCGCAACATGGCTAAAGGGAAGAGAGGGTAAAAATCTGCAGGAAAACGTAAAAATCTAAACCATATTATTTTTAAAAATGACATCCAAAATTTTTGTACAAGATTGTAGAGACTTTATTGCAATGGAAGATTGGCATTATTATATAGAAGGAATTGAGAAATTCAAAGAAAGCACCGTTCGATTTGAAAATGACATTAAAGGCAATCTGTCTCGTTGTGGATTGGTTAACGAGAACAATAGCTGGAACAATAGCCTAAACACGATTCCAGCGCTCCGCCATATTTTTTACAATGCGATAAATTAAAGGTGACTGGAAACAATAAAAAATCCGTTTGTTCTTATAATCAATCAACGTCGTGACAGATTGCCTTTAAAACGTTAAGGTATTTAGAACTGAAACCCGGTATCTAATGTCCAATTGACGAAAAATTTCCTTAATGATTTTTTAGAAGACGTATTTGTAACGGATACAACTTAAGGCTCTAGCTTGATAAAATCGTCAATCTTGAAAGGATCGTGGAGTAAACAGGAAAAAATGCAATTTACGTTGTGAAGTTTTTGCTGGCGATTCCTGTGACTTTGTGCCAGCAAAAAGATCGTTTTCAACCGTGCATGCGACGACGTGGCCTTTATTCAAAAACATGGTCTTCATGCATCACTCTCCAAGGGACGAGCTCGTGAGTAAAAGTAAATAGGAGGAAGGGCCTATGATTCGATAGAATGAATAGATTTATTTGATGAATAAATGAGATATGGCACTCATGCGATTCTCTGATATGAACAACACAAAAGAGGCAACCACTGAAAAGTGAAGCACCAAAATGCGAAACGAGGCTGAGCAATTATCTTTGATTCAATATTTTTTAAGATTGGTTGTTTTTTAGCCAAAAAGTTCTTGCAAAAAATATTCTTTTAAAAAGGAGTGAATTAAAGGAAATGGGAATAGGGATAGCTAAACTTCTTGATATGCAAATAGGATTATCTGTCAAGAAAATGAAGCGGCATCTTTAGAACATCTTCCACGAAAAGTTAGCTTGAAAAATATCTCAGAAAATATAAAATTGGCGCAAAACAGAGAATGACCATGGAAATGTAACCTGAACTGAAAAATCGTATGATAAGCATGGGTCCAAAATTAATCCAAGTTTTTATCTGTTCATTCTCAATGTATTGGCTGAAAGGGCGTCTAATCCAAAAATTTAAGACGGGAGTTACTGAAACCTGAAAACTCGGTCTGAAATCACAATTATTTTGAGAAGAGAAAGCATAGGAAAACCAACAAATGGTAGACGTTTCAAGCTGCCTGAAGCTCAGACCAAAGCCTATCGTATTGAAACAAACTCCTTTTTAGGATGTAGAATGGAATATGAGAATTTTCAGAATGAAACTGAATCTAAAAGTAAGAAAACAATGGAACCGGAATGAATATGATAGTCATCGGTTTCCTAGACTAATTCTACATAGCGCTTTCAAACAAAAATCTTTTATTTAAAAATTGTAAATAATATTCAATTTCTTTGCGGTACAGAATTTGAAAATGGCTTTGAAAAAAGCAAACATTATACCAACATACTAAAAGCTTTAAATGCACGCTGAACTGGAAAAACTTAAAACGATCTTTCTGGACAACAGCTATCCAGAAGACGTCATATTATTTTATACTAAGGAGAAGATCGCAAGTTTTTCGGCTGCTCAAAAGTTTGGTCCGCAAAAGTGCCCAGTTTATTTGAAACTATCATGGATTGGTAACACTTCCTTGCGATTCCAGAGCCAGATCAGGCAAGCCATAACTGAATGTTTCGTTGCTGTCAATCCTCGCATTGTTTACAGCACTAGGAGAGCCTTTCCATTCATTCAAAAGGGTTGCATTCCTACTAACCAAACAAGTTCTGTCATTTATGAATTTACGTGCCAGTGTGATTCTGGCTACGTAGGACGCACAACCCAGGGGCGCAGTGGGAGTTAACTTTTGGGGGGGGGCAAAGCTGAAAATTTTTCCGATAAAACTATGATTTTTCCGACAAATTTTTTCTCAAAACATTCCTTGAAGATTACCCTTGCTGCATATACTACAACACTTGATACTACAATATAACGAATGGATCTGGAAATCGTTAACGAATGGATCGTTCGCTATACACCTTCAAGTTCAACAATAGCCTTTATTCTAACCGATTCTAACAAAACTTACCAAATATAAATCGCTATGAATAAAACTGCAACTAGTTATAAATTTACACCTACAGGTCTTCTCGCTATACTAGACAATAAACTGTCACGTTAGTGTTTATAGCTGTTTATAGCAAAAAGTTTTTTTTGGCAAGTTTTAAATCGCATCATAATTTCTTTGCACTTATTTATGCTAAACCTTAAATAGATAAAACGCGTCCAAAAGAATAGTTTTCCTTTAAATGATATTGATATTAACTGTTACTCAAGCAGCATTTTTCTCAAAAGAGGTGTGGCAGCATACAAATCGATGATGTCACCATAGTCTATCGACTGTAAAATATCACTTTCGACGTTGATTGTTATCAGAGAGGAAAGGTGGTCTTGTCCCATCGTTGACCATAGCCGATTTTTTACAATCCTCAGCTTTGAAAAAGCTTTTTCATAGTTTGTTGAACCTATTGGCAAAGTGACGAGAATCTTTTAGAGAAGGACCAGCTGCGGAAAGGCACTTTTCAGGTTGTACTTATCATCAACTGAAGAACTGAATGGAAGTTTTCTCTATTCAAAGCCTTGGCCAAACGATTCGATTTTTCGCTCGATCTTTCTCTCGACATTTGATCTCAAAATCGAGCGAAGTCGAGCATGGGTGGCCAAACGATTCGATCTTTCGCTTGATTTTTCATTCGACTTTTCACTCACGCCAACAAAATGAAGGCAAAGGAACGCAAATCGGCTGCCGTGTTTATCTTGTGTGCAAATATCCTTTTACAATCTCTTGACGAACTGGAGCGACATAAGACCCTGTTCGTCCGTTTCATGCAGGAACCGCCATTAAATACTTATTTCGTTAAAATAAATTACTATTTTCAGGCAAAATTTTGTTTCTTTTGACTAATTCCATTCTTAAAATGAAATTCATCACTTTAAAAGGTCCCCTGGACCTCAAGGCCCCAGGGTAGTATGCTTCCCTGCCCAGCATAAGAGATGATAGTTGCGCACGCGCTCGCTCGACCCACTCGACAAGGTGGCCAAACGATTCGATTTTCATTTGACAACACCTTTTTCACTCGACTTTTTTATCGAGATCAAACTTCACTCGACATCACACGACGCCAATCGACTTGCTTGACAAGGTGGCCAAACGACTCTATTTTTCACTCGATTTCTTGTCGAGTAAAAAATCGAGTGAAAAATCGAGTGGTTTGGCCGGGGCTTAAATCAAGACTTTCTCCTGCAGCCGGCTGAGGGCTGCTCTTCTCTCTAACTTTCCAAAATTTGCTATAATTATTGACGAAAGAGCTGTACTCATCTCTTTATTTTTCGTCATCCAGGCCGTAATTCTTCACAACCTTTTTGAATGACACTGCACACAACTGTCTTTCAATTGTTTTTTGAAAACATTCAGGGTTGAGCAAGGCAAAATCTGTCAAAATTGCCTTATGAGACGTGAATCTTGTATTCATTGAGCTGATAGCTGTATCTACCATCACGATGATATACGGATTCCCTATTTCCTTCTAGTTCATCCATGCAATTTTCCCCTGGCATCTTTTTCTTTCTGCGTATACGTCGCTCAACAAAATTTTGCTCTTCTAAGTCATGGCAAAAACAATAACTTTTTGCGTCTTCTAAAGCACCAGCCAATTCATTTCGAAATGAACTAAGTTGAACTTAAACTGTCGGAACTGGAAGTTATAAAATAACTGAGACCAGAGCGTCAATTTCCTTTACAAATTTCAGCAATGCGAAGATTCCGATGAATAATCTAATGAAAATAAGTAAGAAGGGTTGAGCATGCCCTATTTTACGACAGGTTTAAAAAATGTGCGCCCTTTTGGACAGGATCGATGAAAACCTTACATTTTGTCTAATATTTCAAATTTTCCGACAAACGTTGGATTTTCCGACTATCCGACAAAATTTTTGCCAGGGGGGGGGCGGCTGCCCCCCCTGCCCCCCAGCCACTGCGCCCCTGGCACAACCCAAAGATTGGGGGATAAGATAAAACAGCATGTTCCTTCCAACATAAGAAACAACACTGCCCCTCAAAGAGAGCAGCCTTCTCGATCTTGTAGGTCTAGAAACACTGTTAAAACAAGTGAGTCTGCCAACGGTCAACATCTTTTAGACAACCCAGTTTGTGGAAAACTCTATAATGACGACATGTTTCGGATGATTGGCAGAGCCCGGTGGTCCTTCCAGCTAGCAGTTTTGGAGTCGATCTACATAAAAACGAAAAAACCGCCATTGTGTAGACAGAAGGAGTTCGTTTTCTCTCTTGGACTCCATTGGTAATTTTTCTTTAGGCACTGATTGGTCAACTATACCGGTCTTGTGCTTGCATTTTTCTGATTGGCCTATTTCGATCCACAACTGGGTATATATTTTCCATCGTGTTCTTTCGGATCCTTATTCTGACGTTCTATGCTCTGAGGAGTGTCAGACGAAAAAGCTTTAAATATGTTGTATAATGTTTGCTATTTTCAAAGCCATTTTCAAATAATATTCACTTTGTATTTCTTTTTCAAATATGTGTCTTGATTTAGCAAGCTTTATATGTTTAGGCCATCAATGAATTTTGTCTGCTGCCACCAATTGTATGGTAGTAATAATGATGGTCGAAAATTTTTAAATTGTTGTTGAGAATCGTATCGTAAGCTGGCTCAAAAAGAGCACAAGCGTCAACATGATTGGGTTGGACAACTAATTCATTGGGAAGTGTCTCATAAAAATGGGATCAAAGTAAAGCCATTGTAGTCGAAGATCAGCCATAACTAGTACAGGAAAATGAGAGATATTGTGGGACTTTAACATCCAAACTAACCAATGGATCGAAGCTAGACGTCCTGATTTAATTGTGATAGACAAAGAAACAAAGTTCGTGAAAATCAAAGACTTTGCCATTCCCTTCAATACAAGAATAAACTCCAAGGAAAAAGAAAAGATCGAAAAAAGCAAGAGAGTGACGTTCATCCTATAAGTCAGAGAAGAGGGCTTCATAGTAACAACACCATGAAAATTGGAGGACATTGGAATGGAGAGGGAAACGGATTTATGCGAGGGGCAAATCAAAATCGCCCCTCGGATTTGTGAGAAAACTGTATCTTCACATTCTGCTAGGGTTTTGAGAAATTTTCTCGAGATTTCTCGAGAAATCATGTTGATGCCAAACCACGAGAATACATTACCACTGACATTCAGTGAGCTATAAACAATGATAATAATAACAATAATAAACATACCCTTAGGACCCAATGATGAACTTGTTGGGTTTGCCGTAGTTGATGTTGGTGCAGTGATTGTTGTTTCCAATATCGTTTCTTTTGTTGTTTCTGCAAACATACGTTTTCTATCTATAAAAAACTGGTTTATAAGAAACTAGTTCTAGGCTGCTCAAAAAATTTAAGTAACTTTAGTTAGAGAACTTTAGTTAGTAAGTAACCTTAGTTAGTTGGTTTTTATTAGCTTGTATGCATAGCTAGAAATTGTACCAACTTTAAATAAAGAGAGAAAAAAACAGTTCTGGGTTCAAGAAATATCAAGCAACTGTAAAACTTTCCTTTTAACAAAAGAGTTTAATGTTTTTTTTATTCTTCTTTGAGAAAATTAGCATACTTTGGATTTTGACCTGCTTGGGCATTTTTCGTGAGGATCTACGTTTATATTCTCGCAATAATGCTTAACTTTGAAACAATTAAGCAATTTTGGGTCCCGAAATAAGAAACCAGCTAGGAAAAATTTAGTATTAAAACCCTGAAATTTGGATGCAAAATTAAGAAGCCTTCAATAATTAGTATTGATCCAATTTTTTAAAAAAAAACGTAAATTGACGTTTCAGAATTCATTCATACCTTTGACCTGTCGAACATTAGCTTGCTTCTAAGCCTTTCGTTTTCAATGCATTAATAGGTACCTTGTAAAAGAGGGTTAAAGAGTCATGTAACCCCCCCCCCCCTCCCATCTCAGTCTAGCTTACCTCTCATAGCAACCTTTTTGTGAAATCTAGTATCTATAAGACAGTCGACAAAAATGTCAGCAAGATAATGTTTCTAAGGAAGTTTTTTTATCACTATTATGAGATATCTGTCATTATCCAGGAGTATTCTTTGAGAAGCTTCAGCATTGGTAGCGCTAATGCTGGCTGGAATTGGTGGTAGGGGGGAACAACTCGCAACATTTGCGGTGAAAAAATGTAAACATTCTGGGGGGTCCATGAAGAAATTTTGCAATTGGAAAATTTGTTAACGGGCTGATTCAGCACAAAAAAGAACTCAATGTTTCAATGTTTGCTCTAACTAGATTGTTTGTGTTGTTATGTATTGTGTTGTTTGCTACTTAGCTTTCGGAGGTAGTTTAGGATACTAACAAGCTATGCTCATCAAGCAGTATCAGGGTCCCTCGTACATTTCTCCCTTCCTTTTTATCTTATCGTTCCGTGATGTCAAGTCATTTATCTATCATTAAAAGGATATCGTAGACCCTTGTCCCTCTAGCCTTTCAAAACGCCAGAAAACATAACTATTAGAAATAACTTGCTTATTTCCACTAATTATTCATAAACAGTCTGATTCAGAGAAGATAACAATTACTATAAAATAGATATAATTAGCTTTAGGATATAAAATAGATATAATAAACACAAAGTTAACTAAGTTAAAAAATATAACAATCATTCTACAAAGATAAAATACCAAGAAAATGAACAAAGATAGGTTCTCAGTCAAGAAGAACTGCTACTACTCAGAATCCTTTGATGTACACTTTCCTAAGTTGCGTTTGTCGAGTGAAATTCCAAAACCGTTTTAACCTATTATTGCAAATAAGAAGGGGGGATGGAGCTAAAGCCTTTGTTAGACCAAATGGCTGCACAGTGCCTAGCGATGGCTTTTAATAAGCCAACTTCCCTTGACAAGTCTCTAGTGCATGAAATGAAACATCTACCTTTAGTTGTTGTTGTTGCTTTTATGGTCGCTTCAGGTAATGCTGTTGTTGACATCGTCTCAGTCGATTGAGTAGTGGTTGCTGGCAATAAGAGAAATAAATAATTAATTATGCAACTGTAACATACCAGATAGTGATATTTTCAACTTGTGCTATTCATTATCTGTTTACTTGAAGTTAGAATAGTGTTTACTTGTTTCTTTGTTTCGAAGTTAGTATAATGTTTAGCTACACTTGAGCAAATTGAAACCAAATAATTTAGATAACCATCTCATCATATAAATCATATATAACCGATGTTGAGTATGCATTCCTTGTAAGGGACAGAAGTAGAATTGAACGGTGAAATTCCGAGAACAGGCACGCAAAAACAGGCAAATGTTAAAATGGGCGTAAAAACATCTAGCCTTAATTAAATGTACTTGTATAAAAGAACTTTCAGCTACAGCCTCTGTGGTTTGTCAAACAAAAATTCCTTGAGGGCGAATAATCCAATCCAACGCATATCCTACAACTTCCAACATACACTCTTTACGTACATCGTATCACCTTATTGACCTATTTGTGACCCAATCTTTTCCGTGTTTTGCCCGTGAAGTAAATGGTTTTTGAGAAAACAATGGATCTATCTTATGCGGTTAAAGATGGGTATTAGAAGCGTAAATTGAAAAACGGAGAAGGAGAAACAAATCACATGCTTAGAATCCTTACATGTCAAAGCCAAAACCCCAACTTATGAATACAGAAAGACTTTGCTTGACTCAACCATCATGAGAGATGGTAGCAGTCGCTGATTGGTCACACACACACAAACACAACCAATAAAACTCCTCTATTTACATTGATAAACCCACCATTCTCCCTTTCACAATCTGATGAATAATGCTTAAGTTAGTAGGTAGTTTTCGCATCTTTCGTGCGACTTCATGTTATCAATGTTCATTGTACAAAATATTGCTTATTAACATGTATTAAAAGTAACTGACGTCGATTAGTGGTAGACAATGCTTTTGTTGTTGTTGCTGTTGCTGTTGTTGTTGGTGCTTTTGTTGCTGTTGTTGTTGTTGTTGCTATTGTTGTGGCTTGCTTTGTCGTTTTGACAATTTCTTTGGTACTCGCTGCCAAAATAGAAAAACAAAGACTGAGTGTGATTAACATCGCAACTCGGTCACAAAAAGCTAATCAACATTGTTAAGTGATACTAAAATTTGATAGCAAGGACTGTTTTTGAAAGCAGACGTTGGTGCCCTAATTCAACTTGTATCGAATAAAAAAGGATTTAGCAAATCATTCAAACTAGAAAATTTTAAAATCTACAAAAAAGGCTTTGAAGAAAATCATCTCACTTTTACTTCTGTACTGAAGAAAAAATCTTTTGAAAACTGGGGGTCAAGATTGAATTTAGAATTATACAGTTAATTTTGCTGTACTTACAAGGTAGGGTAGAATTTGGCGGCATTGAACTTGTCGTTGCTGTTGTATTTTGTGTTACGTTCTCTGAAAGACAATTAAACAGCTTGAAAAGGGGGTCTATAAGATACTTCCAATGGCTGCAGTCATACTTTCTGTCGAAAAGACTTGCTTTCTATGATTGTACAAATATCTACTCAATGTAAATTAGCCTTTGAAGCATTCAGAAAAGAGACACATGCTTCCTAGAATCTATTTAATTTTTAATCGAAATTAAAAGAATATTTTTGTACGACACTTGTGAAGGTAAAGGATAACTTCTTTAAAACACGGATACTTCATATTGTAACTAACCTTTATTTCTAAATGTAATAAATTCCAATTTAGGTTTATTCTAACTTTTCTGATAGCATTGCATCATTATCAGATAACAACTCAAAGATCGATTTTTCTCATGCTATTAGGATACCTTCAAAAAAGTACTAAACTCAAGAGCAATTGGCTCTATGTTTAAATGACCATACAGTGTCTATTTTATCTAGCTACGAAAGTTTTTGTCAGTATCAACGATGAGTGCTATAGTAGGCAATTTTCCTTGCAAAAAATCGAGACATGCCATTCTCAGAAATACGCCTATTACATTTCAAGCTAAGATTTCATGCTACGTGAAAACATAGCAACCAACCTTTCTTAGTCTTTTTTCCAGCATCGTCTGCTGGGGGTATACTTGCGTTTGTAGCTGGATTTACAGAAACATACCCAATAATCATACACAGGAAACAACTTTTTAGGTTTTGATTCCCTTCTTTATTTATTGTTCCTTATCCCCTATGAATCTGAATTTTTGAAAACTATCAAAATTTGTGCTTGATGGCATGGAACATAATTAATTGAAAAGTTTTGCTTCAATCTTATTTCTAATGGTAAGCCATTAAATCAGTTTCAACCTTTTAAAGGGCCTCGACCATTCTTTCTAGAGATCAATCCAGCCTATGTTCAATTGCATAAGACAAATAAAGATTAATAATAACAAAATCTATACGATTGCTTAATTTAGAGGCGATGGCCTTTCTTCGAGACATAGTTACTGATGGAGAAAAAATGAGCATTAATAGTAAGCTTTCGTGGAATTCAAAGGAAACCTATCAAAAAACAAGTAAGGACCTTCATTTATAATAAAAGGCAGACATATACTTGACGTACCTATTGTATTATTTGTTGCTGCTGTTGTGTTTACAGATATTGTAAAGTTTGCTGTTGTGTTTAATGATTGAGCAAAAGCAGTGGCATTGGGAGTCGTTGCATTACCACCAAACAGGCTTGTGCCTTAAAATTATCAAAGATAAAATGTAAATCATTGATGCTTCATTCTAAATATAAAAGATTTCAGAATGGTAATTGTCAGTGATTATAAGCTCATTTGTATTGTTGCCAGGGGTAGCTCCAGAGCAAAATCTAATTGATTTACAGTTAGGAAAAACATTTAAATTGGGAGGCCTTTAAGCTAGTGTGGTTGGAATCTTGGTGTGATCGAAATAAGGGAACAAAGGTAGATGCTAAATATCTTTTGAGGCTATCTCTTTGGCAAAATCAGCAGATATGTCGATATTTTCATTACTTCAATAGCAATTAAATGTTTAGAATACCTGCGGAAAAAGAATAACTTTATCTTGCTATGAAAGGAGTGCCAGTGCTTTTGGACAATGAAATGATAAATTTAAATTTGCTTTAAAAATATTTACTGTTTATGAAAGAAACTGCCGTTGTTGTTGTTGCTGCTGTTTTTGCTAAGGTGCTAGTCTTGATCTCTACAAGAGAACAACATATTATGAAGAGCAATATTGTCGAAAAATTAGCTTTGACTTCACCATTTAAATGTTCACTATAAACGATATCGAAACAAAAGAGAAATTGCGATAAAATTCACTTCATCACTAGTCAAAAAGTTCACATTGTGTCAGTGCTTACAGAAAATTGTATTGTATATCGAATGGAAAAAATTTACCATAACGTTTGCAATGTAGTCATCAGACCTCTGGCTTTGATATCGCAATACAAGCTATTTATCTCTAGTATATCTAAGAAAGTTATTCCAGACTTTCTTACCAGTTGTAGATAAATGCGTCTTTGGTGTATGTGGTTCAGTGACGGGAAGTGAGTCTGTATAGAAAGGAAAAATATAAAATTAATTGAAAATCATTGCATCGCAATGTTTTCAAAAGTGCTAACACTCAGTAATCCTCATAGTCGTCATGACTGAGATACAGATACGTCTCTTCTTGTGATTTTGTTTTGATATGCTTTTATGCAGATATGTTTTGCAGCAAGCAACAACGCGAAGAAGAGTTTCTGGTAGCAATTAGAAAGACCAGTCAGAAGTCTAGCTCAGGTTTTACTTTCTCAAGTTATTCTATGCAGCAAGGGTATTGCTTGGGTACCATAATGTGAAACTGAAAAAGTGCTTAGGCATGCTACTTTTTCACCTTTAGTGTCACAAAAGATGTGCCACTAAAGATCCTTAACAAGTGCAGACGGTCTTTATGTTCTTGCTGGGAAGCCTTTAATGCTTCTTTCGTGTTTCTATGAATACCATATTGTATATTTGTACTACTGCTGGTATTTTCCAATAAGAAAAAAATGTTATCGTTTGGTGAAGGTTTAAATGTGTGGCGTAAAACAGTTTGACAATGCAGGAACTGGTAACAATACAGGTAATAATAGTAATAATAAATAATTAGAGCGAGAAATTTTAAAAAAAATTAACACTTTTTAAGTTAATTTTATACAGCACGGTCCACTGTTTTTTAAAGTTTTTTAAATATATGTATTTAAATATAGATTGCAATAAATGGTTAAAAACGTATAGAAAATATATGTGTAAAAATGTTGCATTTATAAAAAACTGGATTTGAATTGTATGATGCTGCTCTTTGATGTTGCTGGCCCAGGTAGGTCGTTCTAAATTTTTGTTGCTCTAACTCTAAAGTTTGACGAGGCTTTACAATTTGCTAGCTTTACATGAATCTTGTTTGCTGCTGCTTATCTTGTGTTATTCTGGTGAACTTGTGCTGAGCACTTGAATTAATCCGATAAATGTTTGGGGGCCAGCCCATTAAAACATTTAAACATCATAACAGCAGCGTTTCTCTTAAATCTTTCTTCTACTGATGCAGGTTCTTTTGAAGACTTTTCTTTTATTTATAAATCTTCATTATACAGATCCGTTAACCATCTTAGTGCTGTAACACATGCTGATGACCAGGTCTCGGACAAAAGCCGAAATAGGACGTAAGCAAACAATTTATGAGTAAGATCCTTCAATGCAACTACGTTATATAAACGATTTTTTATTGTAATTATGGTTGTGAAAACTAAATAGCTGACCATTTTTCCTGGTATCTACAATAACAGAAAAAGCACCTGCAGAGAAATCTTTATTTCATTTTGCAATGTATTCTAGCTAACATAAAATTCTACGTTTTCACAAATTTTAAAAGTTTCAGACATTACCAGTCCTACTCATTGCAGATCCAAAATGCTCTTCATATCTGTAGAGATTCCAATCTGAAAACATAATATAACTTCAGAATTTCAGAACAGGTACAAATTAGAAATATCATTCAACGCTCTTCTAACTGTTAGGAAATGTAATATTACCAACAGCGGACGCAAATTTTGCAACCAGGGAAAGCACAAGACAATCTGTTGGTTATCGTATTTATAGGTTTCGAGTTTCTGGGTCCGTAAATTTTATATGAAGGTCGACCTCAACTTCATCGACGGAGCAAGGGACGACAAAAGTTGCAAAATGTGGGGGGAGGTCTCTCATTTTTGCCATTATATAGAACACAGTGGTTCTTAAATTTGCCCTTTAAAAATTAGTCTCTTTCAAAAATTTCTGGTGGGGGAGGAGGAGCTCAATCACTTTCGCCCCATCCCTGCATACTGGCTTTGTATTTGTAAGTCTATCTCAAACTCAAAATGAATTGATTAATTTTTAAGCTTAGAGCAGCAAAAATTGTTTTCATACATTTAAAATTGGTTTTAATTGTTTTCATGCATCAAGCGTTGGCAAGTAATGTAACAATTTAAGCTTTTCTCCTTCTCAAAAAGACTGATAGGAAGTTGCTCACTCACAGAGAGCCTAAAGTATGATAAAGGATTGCCATTACGGAAGTCATCCAACGAGAATTTTTTCACTTGTGAAGTTCCTCTGAACTTTCACAAGGGGGCTGAGACAGCAGTGCCCTCTCAGCATCTCTGATTGAAAAGTGAATTTCATCGCAATGATCCTTTTTAACTATCATTATTATTATCATAAAATTATTTACAGTTGGCAATTTCATAGTTCTTAAAAAACTAATTTACACCAGCTTTTTACAAGAACCTAAATAGTTATATATATAAGTTACCAATAAAAGGAACGAGAACTTATAATTAAAAGAAATACGAAAAATGAAAGGTAATTTCAATTACTCTTTGGTGTACACTGAAGTGACGCCAAGGAGATCAGAACATGGTCCCTCCACATAATTCATTAGAACTTTGTGACTGATGTACCCAGGTATTCAAAAACAGTAAGAAAGTAAACAGTCGGAAAATTCTTGACAAATGAAACTTAGAAAACCCTCTTTTGAATCTTTATATCAAAATAATGTTCAAAAAACCTCGATTCGAGCAGAATGTCAAATGCCGATGTCAATTTCATAGTGTTTTGTAAGAGCTACAATTTATAGGGGCGAATGAGGAACAAATGATAAAAATTAAGAAAGCAATGTTACTTTGTGAAAGGTTAAGTATGAGTAAACCTGCATACTTCGTAAGCTTGCATCTTCAATATCATTGTCGCTGGTCCTTTTCGTGATTTTCCACTCGTTGACAATCATGACTAAAAATATCAAACTGAAATACAAAGACATCAGCCCTGCACATAGGATCATGTGCTTAAGTTTCACAAGTTTACTTTTTCCTATACAAGACATCTTGTATGAAGTAACCGTCTGTCAGTATATTATAGCAATGTCCTTGTTAGATCCTTTTCTCCTTATCGTCCCCTATAAGATAAACTACGCAACAAAGAAACGCAGCTTCTGTTGGCCGACACGAGATGTTGAACATTTGTTTAGGGAATAATTTCAAACCCTGACCGTTGTTCCTTGGCGCACTCAATCAAAATTACAATGTCATTCCTTGCTATAAGATCTTGTTGATGTTAATTATTCCAGCATCCAGACGTCGTTTTGTGCTACCTTTCTAGCAGACACTCTCCTTATTCTGTAAAAATTTATTGTTTACCTGTGAAACATTTCATAAATAGGTAAAATATGATCTATTGGAGACCTTGCTTCTCCACTAGTTTTCATGACCAGTTTCATTCGAAAAGTAAATTGGTGAATTTGAATTTGAATACTGCATTTCTGTAAAATCTTTGTCATAACCTACAAAAGTTCAGCCTACTTGGAGAATCTCAATTCCATGAAAAACGCAATGTCATTGTTCAATTATCCAATTCCTGGAGTCATTTTTTCTACAATTATTCGTTACGATGCGAAATATTTGAAAAAATATGCGATGTAGTCAACTTAGAAAGAATTTCAGAAAATTTCCTGAGAAAAACTAGTTTTTTGCACATACTCTGCTGGGTTATTGAGCTTAAAAAAAATCTGTCATTTAGTGTCCCTGTTGTGCAAACTCGAGTTTTGCGCGCATTAAAAGATTTAGATAGGGCGCAAATTTTGTTGCTTTCCTGGCTTCTGCAGTTAAGAGTCGATGGTATGGGCTGTAGAAACGTCAAAGTCTTTGCAGATATGTCTTTCCCACTTCACAGCGTCAAGAGATGGTTGAGGTTTAGTCAGGTTCTACCAATTAGCATATTGTTGTCATTTGAACTTTCAGGAGGAACAAGGGATCGCAAGACGCAATGCTACTCTTGAGAACATTAGCTGAAAGAGCAATAGAAATCCAAAAGAACTTGTATGTGGTATTTATTGATTATCGTAAAACATTTGAAAGAGCAAAATATCAAGAATTTATGAACAAATTTATATTGACGGTAGAGACCTAAAATTGATGAAGAGTCATACTGGAAACAGGTTACAGCTATCTCTTGTTGTTGTTGTTGTTGTTGTTGTTGTTGTTGCTGTTGTTGTTGTTGTAATCTTATTTTAAATCGAATATATAAATTTTATGCTACACAACTGTAACTTGTCTAATTCGATTATTTGCACAATATACAAATTAAATTAACAATTTTTAATAGTGTTTTAATACACATTTACAATAAAATCATTAAGTTTTGAATACGTTGCATGTACAGGTTGCCCCGTCCCAGTTTTTAATTAATCTTTTGAATTGAATCAGATTTTCTGCAGATTTTATTTCCTGTGGTTTATTTCCATTCCAAATTTGTGGTCCGAGGGACCTGAGGCTGTTTGTACCGAAAGTTGTTTGGCTAGGTTTGTAGTGTTGCAAGTCTTGTGGACGACGTGAGGATCGATCAGAGGTTCTTTGTTCGAAAATATTTTGCATGAATTCAGGATTTAACCTTTTTACAGTTTTGAAAATTTCAATACAGAGGTTCCTTTGCCGATTTACACGCATTGTGCATTTTCGTGATTTGCAAAGCAATCATGTTCATCGTAAAGGAATCGTAGGGCGCGTTCCTGTATTTTTTCAATCTTCTCCATAGATCTAGCCGCGGAGAAGAACCACACTAAAGGGCAGCAGTTAAAGTTGGAGAAAACAAAGCTTTGGACCAATACCTTTTTCTCATCAAAGCCAATGAAAGATTTAAGTCTTTTGAGCACATTTGGCTGGGTTGCTGCCTTTTTACAAAGTTCGGATATGTGAGTGTCAAAATTAAGTTTGTGATCTATAGTTACGCAACTGACTTTATCTTTTAAGATGTTGAGCTTAGTGACTGGAGAAATGATAGACGAGAGGTCCATCAAGGATGTGTATTTTCTCCTGATCTATTCACTTTATATGCAGAGCTGATTATGAGAAAGGTGAGTGACGGAGAGACATTTGAAATAATTGGTCAGTCTTTATCTGATATCAGATGTGCTGACGATAAACAAAATCTTATACAAATCATAATCTGAAAACAAAAATTGAAAAAGAGCCTTATATATAAACTGGAAGAGAACAAAGATGATGGTATCTAGTAAAAGCAAGATAATTTCCAAGTGCTATCTCCAGGGCATGGAAGAAGTGATAAAGAAATAAAGCGCAGAATTGCAATTGCAAAGACAAAATTTATTGAAAAGAAGAGGGTCTTAACAAATAGACATATGTCAGTCCAAAAAAAAATGCATTTTGGAAAAAAATTACGCAATAAATGAATTTTATTCTATAGAAGTGAGACGTGGACCATCAATACAGACATGAAAAGGAAATTTGAATCAACATAAATGTGGTGCTATCGAAAAGTGATATAGATTTTCTAGACAGACAAGATAAAGAATGAAGAGGTCTTGGAAAATATTAGGGAACAAAAGCAGATGATTAAAAGAATAACTCAAAAACACCTGATATTCCCCGGCCGTATCGTCAGAGAAGATGGCCTCGAAACTTGGTACTTGTACGTAAGATTAATGGTTCAAAATGAAGAGTACGCCAGAAAAAAAATTATCTTAATAATTTAGCTCAAATGTCGCAGAGTTTACTTTTGTAGATATCTCGTGTACTCAATACCGAGATCTCGCACAGATGGGCTGTGGGCTAGCATTCCTCTTTTATGAACAAAAATGAGTTTTATGAAGGCCTGCAAGGTTAAATCTCCGCAAAGATGGCTAGTCTCGCATGAGGCTCCCGGTAATTTGTGCATCACTTGATAGGATAGTAAAAGACTTTTGCTCCACAGACCCATCTTCGCAGTCAATATTCGAATTTGTCTGCAACGCAGGCTTGTTGTGACGATAACTGGCTTGATATTTGTTAACAAAATAGCTCTCTTGGCGCCCCTATTTCAGTGCCGTAATGCACAGTGTGTACCTTTAAGCACAAAACTGAGGGCCAAGCTTTGGCTTAGAAGGGGCTCCTAAGAACATTTTCAAAAAACAGATTTCCGATGAAAGCATATGTTTTTTTAATAGCATTCACAGCAACAATGAAATAAACGTAAGACTTGACTTTATTTATGAATGTGAGCAATCATATAATTATGATGCAGGGCCATGGGGACCGAGGGGGATGAAGTCCCCCCCCCCCCTTCAATAATTGTCAAACTTTAGTATTTTTCTATATAACAGTGTACTGAACACAATGGACAGGACCCCAACATATTTGAATTTTGTTTCGACCACACTGTGATGTAATGTAGCATGCCAATCAGATTTCCTTCGAACCCACATCTATATCGTTATAAAATTTTGCATTCAATTTACGAGAACATCACAGATATTTGACTTCCTCAATGAAGCAGTTTGGAAATATTAATCTATCTCAACATGTTTTCAAAGGTTTCTGTTGCTGTTTCGTCTAGGATAGACTCGGCTCTGAATTCAGTCATGTTTTCTCTTCCCTCTCATATCCTAGGTCTCTAAGGTAGGACTGGTGCATCG